AGCAAATATCAACCAAACAATCAAGCAAGGTAATTCAGTCGTTGAAAACACAAGGAAAAACAAGTTTGAGTGAATGTAAACCTGGCATGGCATCAAGAACGTCATGCATGACGGCAGCTCGAAGTTCCAAATCAAAATGGCTCTCAACTCTCTGTTTTGTGACCGTTTTGGCAACTCCTTTTGAATGACGCCCCTCAAATTGACGAGCAAGAAGATTCCCTAACCATCGTTCAAGAAGAGGAACTATCCCCCGAAGGAAAAACAACCATACCCTCCACATTGGAGCCCAAAATCCACACCCTGGTCCCTTACCCACAGGACCAGTATTGAAACGATAGTATATCAAGTGCTTCAAATCCTTGCACATCCTAATTTGCCTCATTAGTCTGTATTTATAACGATACATACCCGTCAACTGGCCAACATGTGAGAAAATATATTGCAGACCGTCAGCCAACTGGAAGGCATCAACATTACCAAGTCGGAATTGGACGTTTGCATCAACTACAAGTTTTGTCAGCCGGAGGATCTCACGGCAGAGATGAAAAGCGTTCCCAAAACGTGACTTCTTACGCTCTTTAGTGGTCAAAGTTTTCACAGGCTTCAGGTTGAAGTTGTAGTCAAGGTGCAGGTAGTTTAAATTCTTCCTGTGAATCAGTAGATTCAGCATATTATACCCCTGCCGGCAGACTTGCAAACCCACTTCAACCCAGTCGAGCTCGGTACTTTGGAAAAACTTTGTAGCTGCAAGAGAGCGGAATAAATGCTTCTTCTTCTGAGCTTTGGGTGGTCTATGGTGCAACTCATTCAGCACATAGCATTTTAAAAGCTTTTGGTAACTAACCCGAACTTTAACCGGATATGCTGGAGGACTGCAGAAAATGAGATTAGAAAAGTATTAGGAGATTCACTAGTAGATTATGAAAGGGAAAGAGACCCAAACTAAACCAATAGCTTACCAGTGCTCCTTGAACCACTCAGACACCAGGGGAATATCTTCCGACCGCCGTGTCCTCCCAGACCTCATATTGAAAGGTCGAGGGGCAAACAACAATGAAATGCCAGCAGCTGTAGTGTCAGTGTAGAGTTGGGTGTCTTTTAGCAAAGGTTCCACTCCTTCTGGTAAGGTAAACTCATCCTCATCATCATCGTCATAAACCTTCCTTTCACGCCTTTCCTTATTAGTGTTGCTTATTGGGTGAATCAACGGATCATAATAAAATGCAGGGAGATCAGGATCCTCGGTCTTTATATACATCACCATAGGACTGTGATACACACATAGTTTTACTTTCCTGGGCCGATTATTGTAAAGATGGGGAAAAGCTATTCTGTATTCAGTTCGCAGAGGGGAACGAATGATAAGCTTGTTGATGTCATTAAACTCATTCCAGTCCTCATCCCCTTTCTCCATATCACGGTACAAAGGTTCAAACTTAGGACCACCTGGAAAAGAGTAGCAGAATGCATCAGAAGAAAAGGAACTGAAGCAAAATAATTAAAACAGGAAAATAGAAGGAAACTATCGTACCAGGTATGCACATGTTCAGAGCCTTTGCTGTGAAGAAAGATGGCATGTCAAACAAGTAGAAGTAATTGCGATCGATTAAATCAGACAGCAACTGGCCTGCGAGCCTGTGAAGGGTTGCCATAATCGGAAGTGAGAGATTCCACCTCCGATAACTGGGACCATTGATCAGTTTGGTTTTTACGAGTGGCTTGTGATCGTAAAACCAAGTGTATACAGCAGAATCCTCTTCCTCGTCTAGCTCCAACTGAATTGGCTCTAGAGGATCCACGTCCAACAAGTTATCTGCATAGTCTAGTGGAGGCTCCTCGTCATCAAATGGCGGAAACCGCATTCTCTTGAAATGACGACGATCCCTCTTCTCCCTTCGCATCATAATCCACATAGTACCCCACTGCAAAACCAGACAGAATGGAATATCCGTCACTCAGATATATATATTGGAAATCAATCAATGCACAGGCAGAAGAATACGGAGAGACTAACAACCCACCTGAGCCATGTAAATAGGTTCCACAACCCATGGAATCTCGTTCACAAATGTAATAGCTCCGGTGATGTGGTACAAAACCTTCACATCTCGAACCTGAAACGAAATGGGGACAAGGATAAATGAACAGACGACGAGAACAGCCGAGGCTAAGCAGATACCAGTTAAACTAAAAGAGTACCTGCTCCCAGGGCATAGGCATATTCTCCAGGAGCTTGAAAACTGCGTGAGGGACGAATTTAAGGGCTCCAAGGTATACACGTTTGTCGTGACGATATTTCTTCGATGACATATCACCATGATCCCTGCACAGAGAAATCGCAGCTTCAGTCTCTCAAACGAAGAAAATCATAACCATATGAAAGAAAGTGGGAGTCATTTCCCGAGCAGGAAATGGAACAATCAATCTAGGGCTAAGTGGACTTCGAAATCCTAGGGCTAAAACATCATTCAAAGTGAGACAACAAAAAACTCGCCTGATGATCTTCCTGACGTGCTCAGGCGGCATGTCCTCCTTCTGAGTTTCCACGAATCCAAACTTCCTCTTGTCGCCGTATCGCTTCGAATTTAGCTGCATCCATTTGCGGGCCTTCTCCTCAAGCTTTGCCTCCGCCTCTTCAGGAGTAGGCTCCACCGGAGGAGTCGGATGAGAAGGCGGCGGGAGTGCCGTGTAGGAAGGATGTGCAGCGGGCGGTGGCGGCATCATCGAGCCGCCGGTACCAGGAGGAGCTAAGGGCATACCATCGTTGTTGTTCCACATGGCTTGGGGATTTCAAATCCAAACGCCGAACGGAGTCGCCGAAGAACAAACCCTAGATCCTCGACGCCAGTGCGTTATCTATCGACTTTGAGAAGAACTAGAGTGAGCTTTAATCGAGTAAAGAAAAACCCTAAACCAGTTTTCGGGTGAGTCGCATTTCTTTTTTCTCGTTCGGCCTTATAAGACGGAGAAGGAGAAAAATTAATGAGCTGGACACAAAATATCAGGCGGTGTCGAAAAAGATGTTTAGGCGGTTATCTAAACCCGATGAATGGTACTAGAGTCACTGGGTATTGGGCCTTTGATTATGAGAATTGGGCCGTAATTTGTGAGGCCAGTGGCCATAGCCATTTACCGACTTACCGTTACAACTTTTTATTATACTGTAAAAACATTCAACGTGAAGCTAATACACAAGCGGTAATTGCCTTCGTTGAGGATAATCTCGCCAAAATACGAAGTAGTGTTTAAAAATTACTGTGAGTACAACTCGTAGTGGGCTTGTGTGTTTGATTTTGATTACGAGTAAAATGATTTTCGGAAAGGATTACTCAATGAGACGTGGAAGAGTTATTGAGGGCTTTCTAAGCTATCCGAAGACAGTGGAAACAAGTGCAGAAGAAGAAAGTGAGCGTCAATACATGACACTGTCTCGAATACATCTCATTTGCGACTTCCCTCGCCATGAAGAGCAAGTGAGTTCTACCTAACAAAGTAATCTCCGAGGCACAACCACTCGTGTACTTTTTTGTTATTGCACACAACCACTCAGGTACTTAAAGGGCAGGTTTCTCGTTTTTGAGAAATTGGCACGTGGGTCTAGTATTGGATGTGTTGTAGTCTCATTGTTACTTCTGCATGCACTGTAACATCAAAAGGCGAGAGCATCTGATTGTGCATACAGTAACTTGCATTATCTTTCAAAACTGTAAAAACGCAGAGAAGTGGGATCTCTGATTCCATTTTAATTAGAGTTGATGTCACTGTTAGAGGAGAGCAAAGAGTCACATGGTCTAGTCCCTCTCTTTCAACTCTTTATGTCTTTTTGCTCAAACAAAAATAAATAAAAAAGTGAATGAGAGAGGTAGAGGAGATCTTTGGTACTGATTGTCCTCCCAAGATTTAGTGTCCTTCGCTGTCTCTTTTAAAATTAACTGCACGAGAAAGATATATGTGAGGTACACATTCCTTTGTCTTTCGTTTGAACTGCTTTTTGAATATTTTACACTCTCTTTTTTGTCCGTTTATGCAACGAAGATAATTTCATTTTATATAATAAATCTGTCAAGATTGTGGAAAACTTACCTTTTGTATTCCCCTGTTTTGAAGTTGGATTTAAAGGAGCACTTATAATTTGAGTGAGTGTGGCGTTGTCTAGTTTTATTAAGAGACGATATGGAGTCTAATGAGATAACGAAAAAGGTGTATATTTGCTCCGGGACTGACTAGTGGAAAAGATAATACTGTAATCTCATCTGATTGATTTTGATTATGCTTATTTGCCATGTTTTCAGATATATTTCTTTGAATCCATATTTCAAATACATCATGATAGGGATATTTTCTTAAAGTAGTCCAATTATGGACCACTCTTCTCATAGGTGTCTTTTAAATTTTATTATTGTATATTAAATTCCAGAAAATCAATATTTCCTTTTGTGTAACCATTATGGTTATCGTTTGTTAGAATATAATATACAATCGTACGTAGGTCTTCTTTATGTGAAATGGAATCATTGGCAAATTAGGGGGGGAAACAAGCAAGTGATTGTTATTGGTGATGTAGTCACTTATCCCTTTGATAGGGCAAGAAGTAGTAGTGCGGATCTTAAAACGACAAACGGTATATATAGGGAAAATCTGAATCCAACAAATCTATATAGTTTTGATGGAAAAGAATACAAAAATTAATTGAATCAAATGGTTTACACAGCAGCTGAGATAGATAGAGTTTTATTAATCCTCATACTATAATGATTAGAAATATGTATATAATAAACTAACATGTTAATTAATCCTCATACTATAATGATTAGAAAAAGAGAAAAAAAAAACAAGGGAAAAGAAAGACAAGTGGGAAGAGGAAAAAGATGAGATATGCAAACAGTGAGCAGGCGTGCGGTTCAACAGTCAATCCTTTCGTACGTTTCGATCACGAATGGGGTCCTCCTCTTTCTTATTTGTGGTACAATTCAAGCCTTTCGGTAATCTTTCTTTACCATTTTTACCCCATGAGTGAGTGCGTGCGTGCGAGAAAAAGGGAGGAGAGTGATAAATAAAATGCTATAAATACACCCAAATTACGCCTTTGTCGATCTCAAAAGATGTTTGCGGTGGAGAATGGGTTGCAGGGAGACCCGAGACTACAGGCCATCTCCGACGCCATTCGAGTCATCCCTCACTTCCCCAAGACTGGTCCATTTTCCTTCTTTGCTTTCTTTCCTTCTTTCCTTAAGTGCTCTCATTTCATCATCAATTCGTCTCTCTTTTTTATTTTTTTCTCGTGTTGCAGGAATCATGTTTCAGGACATAACGACGCTGTTGCTGGATCCACTTGCCTTCAAACATGTCGTTGATATCTTCGTCGATCGTTACAAGCACATGAACATCTCCCTCGTTGCCGGTTCCTCTCACTTTTAACATCTTTTTTGTTTTTCTAATATGAAAAGATTGAATAAACAATAGATAACTTTCATAATTTAATGATTTTACACTCACATATACATACTAGTGTGGTTGGTGACTAATTACTTAACGTCTTTATTGTTGTCGTCACTCGTGAGTCCGCCTTTAGTTTTTTGTTCTTTTTTTTTTTTTTTTTTTTTTGCTCAACGTAGTTTTTTGTTCTTTTAGTGTGACCCTTTCAAGAATTCATTTAGAGACGACTAAAGATTGTATGCTTATTTTAGATCGATTTCGCAGATATACATAAGAGATAAACCAATTAATAAAAAAGAAATACGTGCAGGCGTAGAGGCGAGAGGATTCATATTTGGACCGTCCATCGCATTAGCCATAGGGGCCAAGTTCGTTCCCCTGCGTAAACCGGGAAAATTACCTGGTACGTACGTCGACGATTACTTATTGCTGTTGGAATATTGTAAAACTATATATAAACTGATTTGTGGTGGCCGGTATATAGGGAGAGTGATAAGCGAGGAGTACGAGCTTGAGTATGGAAGTGATCGCCTAGAGATGAGTATGGAGGCTGTCAAATCCCACGAACGAGCTCTCGTCATCGACGATTTAGTTGCAACTGGTGGAACACTCTCCGCTTCCATTAACCTCTTGGGTAATTATATCTCTTCTTTTTACCTTTTACTTTTATACAAATATTTGAAATGAAAATATATTAAGCGTCTACTGCAATACTGATTAACACCGTGTATGCGCACTTCAGAGCGCGCTGGAGCCGAAGTTGTGGAATGTGCCTGCGTTGTTGGTTTGTCTAAATTCAAGGTATTATTTTTATCACCTATATTTAGATCCAATAGTATATAGTATTTGAGCTTTTATGGGACTTTAATACTGATACGTATATTCAAACAACTAATTTTGTTTGTGTGATATGCAGGGGCAGTGTAGGCTGAATGGAAAACCGTTGTACGTTCTGGTGGAACCTAGCCACTTAGATGATTTACCTATTGAATCCATATCTCCAAGTTCGAACTAGATGTAATATTAATGACTATGATAATAATATAATTAACCGGTTTCATCGATTTTATATGTAATCGGTATGAAATGATTCACCAAGCTAGTAACAAACTACTCTACATATGTTACCTAGATCGCCATTGTTCAAAGCTTGCTGTCTCAGCATTGTTCATATTGGATTGATAATATGACTGTTGGATGGGGTGTATGAAAATAAATAACGGATTATGAAATACAATAAAACGAAAATGAAAATCATAGTATAATTACCCTAAGGTTTTGACCAATTTTACAGAGAAATGGCAGAATTCTCTTTCTTTTTAAATATAGACCATTGTTTCTTGTAAGTATTCTCTTGAAAGCTAGTATAATCATCTCATCATAATTTGTAGGACAAATCACATGCACCACTTTTGTTTAAATGCATTTAAGTTTATAGTGATTTTAGGTACTTTAATGCGGTAAAGGTGGTTTTTGAGAATGTATGAAACAATCATAAACCGTAGTTATATAATTTGTTGTAATTTGTATTTCCTTGGTTTGTTTGCTAACTTATCGTTTGATGATCTCTTTAATTTGTTAGATAACTTTCCCAAGGCGGAGAAATGAGAGTGATATTGCCTTATTGGATACCAAAAAATAATTTTGAAAACAAAAAAACACGTTGGCTGCAATTCCACGCGCAACGCGCCAATGTAAATAAAGAAAAGTACGAAAGAGCCCCTGCCGCTTAAAGGTGGGTATAAAAGGGTAAATGAGGGCCTGGCCTGTAGTCAAAGAAAACCCATCGAAAACCTAAACCGATAGGGAAACCTGTACGCTCCCCGTCCTTCCCGAATCTCGATCGACCAGTTCGTCGGAGATTGCCGAAGAATCATCTTCTTCTTCTTCCTCTGCCAAACCCTAACTTATTGCGCTGAGATCAGGGGCATTCGGATCGAATCATCCGTCAATTTCTTTTAGTTTTTCCAGCCATGTCTGCCGTATGCGGAAGCAAGAGATCTTTCTTTGAAGATATTCCTTCTCCGCCGTCTGCAAAGAGGTTCCGTTGCTATTCGCCTTCGAATTCTCCAAGCTGGTCCTCTCCCTCCTCATCGCTCGATCAGCTTCGCACTGCGTTTCCTCACCTCGAACTGACGGTAGGTCTTGTTCTATGTTATATCTCGGATTTGCCAGGCCACAGAGATCTCTCTTTTTCATCACCGCGTGTAAATTGAGATTTGAAGCATTTGATTCTTATGATTCGTACGATCGGTTGCACATGTTATCTAGGTGATTGGCTTAATCGGTTGGCAAATATGCTCCTATTGAAAATCTTGACGTTTGCTATAATAGCTGGGTTTTCTTGTATTGGGGAAGGTTTAATTTTTTAATTTGGAATGTTTGCGTGAAATCTGTTTTCTCAGGTTCTTGTGAAGGCACTAGAGGAACATGGGAGTGATTTTAATGCTGCCATGAAAAGCTTGCACTCTTTGGTATCCGCTGCGGAGAAGGAAGCTGAGGAATTAGCCGCAGCAGGTGCTAATAAGGGAACTGGTGCGGTTGCGGGTGAAAATCTTACGGCTTTAGACAAGCTCCCGACGAGTGGTGATGACTGGGTTGAATTGCTGGTGAGGGAAGTGACACATTCTACTGGTACAGATGATGCAAAAGTTCGTGCAGCAAGAGTCCTGGAGGCCTTAGAGAAGATGTTAAGTGCACGTGCTCGCGAAGAAGCAGGAAAAAAGTTCCAAGAGGTAAAGTATTTAGCAGCATTGTATCCGCTAAGTTTCCTTTTTGATGTGCATACATGGTGATTGGTGGGTATCAGACGTGCTAGGAAAATTGTGGAACATTGGTACTAGTGATCGTATATAATCTTTGAGTTTATAGGCATGGAAGGCAATTTGGAGTTCAGGGTAGCCGTAAGACAGTTTGAACCTTTAGTTATTTCTTATGTTGCTTCTTCACACAGTACTCTCTACTAGGAAATTAAGAGGGTGTGTTCTATAAAGTTATATCAGATAGTAAGTTACTCGTTGGAATTTGTGTTTTGGATCTTTTGTATCAAATGAAATGAACACCCTCTTGTGAGTTGCAGGAGAACGTGGCAGTGCAGCAGCAAGTGGAGGCCTTGATCAAGGACAACACAGTCCTCAAACGTGCTGTTGCTATCCAGCATGAGCGGCAGAAGGCATTCGAGGATGCAAACCAGCAGCTAGATCTTTTCAAACACCTGATTCCTCAGTACCAGGAAAAGCTCAGAACTCTTGAGGTAAGCCTCGAACCGTAGAGACGATTTTGATAGTTTGTTAATGGGTGAGATTAGCCCGGAATGTTGAGAAATTTGAAGTCTCATGAGTCTAAAGCCAGATGTTCCATAGATAAAGAGTGAATGATAAAAGTTAAAAATGCAGGTGAACAACTACGCCTTGAGAATGCAACTGCAGCAAGTGGAACATGGCAACTCCATGCCGGGAAGATTCAATCCGGATGTCTTCTAATGCTGTCCAAGAGAAGCGAGTGCACTTGGCAGGAGAAGGCAATAAACGCAAGATAGAGGAGATATCAGAAGTGAAAACAGAAATGCTTTGCATTGTATTTGCTGTGTAGTCGGAACAACAACATGTGTTTCTTTTCCTTTTTTTTTTCTTTTTCATTTTCTTTGGTGCTGTTTGTCTGTTCCTCAGTCACATTAATTTGGGATATAAAGAATGTGTTTGGGTATAGGAGACGACTTGTACTGCCCTGAAACTTGGCTTCACCATTCCTGTACTGTAAATCCCAACAAAGAACCCAATACTGTTTAAGATTTATTATTTTCCTGTTAGTTTCAAAGAAAAGATACACTTTGGAGCAGAGATAAATTGAAAAAGCAAAAAAAAAGAATCCACGTGAGCGAGGTTCGCACCACAAATCTCTCGACTCGAACAAATCAGACGAGTGAAACAACAAACTGGGAATCATCTTCTTCCTAGTGAACAATGATGACCTCTGCTAAGCTTCTCCGCTAGCTCGAGACCTTTATTTGCCCTCACCTTCCTCTCAAATGGCTGCCCTAGCTTCTCCCTCCCTCATCCCCTCTTCTCTCTGCTTCGCCGCCGCCGCCGCCGATGGTCCTCCTTCCCTCTCTTGTAATTTCGCGGCCTTTCCCGACGCCGGTACCAATCTCAGGTATCACAGGAGCTTTTTATCCGTTTCATCCTCTTCGCCTTATCGAAAACGACGGGGGTTACCTCGCCGTTCCTTGGTCGTGTTTGCTGCTTCCGGAGACTACTACGCTACTCTCGGTGTCCCTAAATCTGCTGACAGCAAGGAGATTAAAGCAGCCTATCGACGGCTAGCTCGTCAGGTATACGCACCGACAACTCTGTGAATTTCTCCCGATTGGAGTAATGTGGAAACCGGATCATCCAAGGATTTATGCATCCGGATTTTATGTTTGCATTTTGTCGTTTGGGTGTGATGCTGCTCCGTCATTAAGCTGCGCCTTAGTTTAGGTTTTCTTCTGTGTTTCCAGTTTATATTGAGCTTTGGCCATGGAACTGATTATGAACTTCGTATGTAGTACCATCCCGATGTGAACAAGGAACCTGGAGCCACCGAGAAGTTCAAGGAAATCAGTGCTGCCTATGAGGTATGCACCAAAAGCTAAGGTCCCCAGTTCGATTCTCTTCATGGCTTGTTTTCCTGAGATTAAGACTACTTGGGTTGAACTTGTGTTTTAAAGATCTTCTGCTAGAATAGAGTTGGATTTGTAACGTGTAACATGAGTTCTCAGCTATTTTCGCCTTGTGGTTACTGAACTTACAATCCTGTCAGGTGCTATCAGATGAGCAAAAGAGAGCATTGTATGATCAATATGGTGAAGCCGGGGTCAAGAGTACTGTAGGAGGAGCAACTGGTACTTACGCGGTAACATATTTTCTAGCTTTTTCCTCTCTTGCTTTTGCATAAACCTGATTTGAGATGTGCTCTGAACGTCAGCTCCTGTGCTTGTGCCACTACTTGTCTTTCACATTTACCTTCTCTTATATTTCCAAGCAGACAAATCCCTTTGACCTTTTCGAGACATTCTTTGGTGCGAGCATGGGTGGATTTCCCGGGATGGACCAAGCTGATTTTGGGAGAACCCGCCGCAGTAGGGTAACCAAAGGCGAAGATTTACGGTGAGTTTGTGTTAGAAAACCATGCATTTATAGACTAACCACGCAAAGGATTCTTTTTTATTCTCAAGTAGCATATCATTAAATTAGCTCAAATTTTTTGTTAGTGTTTGCAAACTTACCCTGTGTACTGAAATGGTGAAACTGGTATGGCCTTGAATCATTATGCAGTGGAGGGTTGTGTCTGCAACTGCAAGTGCATTCTTTTTTTTTTTTCCTTCTTTCTTTTTGGGAGTTTTCCTTGCCCTTCATTAACCTGCATTAGTTTTACAAACTCCGAAAGTGATCTAACTACATTCTTGCTTCTGTTGCGTTTTAGATATGACATCACCTTGGCACTTTCAGAGGCTATTTTTGGATCTGAGAAAGAATTTGATCTTACGCATCTGGAGACATGTGAATCTTGTGTTGGCACCGGGGCAAAAGCAGGATCCAAGATGAGAATATGCTCCACTTGTGGTGGACGGGGTCAAGTTATGAGAACTGAGCAAACACCATTCGGCTTGTTTTCACAGGTCCTTGCACTTGATTTTCTTTCCTTTCTTTCTGTTGTAGTTAACTCGAGTCGAGTCTGATGTCAGAAATAGCATCTGATTGGAGTTTCAGAATTCATGTCAATAAACACTTCACTCAAAAAAAAGTCTGTTATCTGGTTCGTAGAAAGTGCACAAGTGAGAGAATTCGCTCGGAATTTGGTTGAATCCAGTTTGCGGTTTTCATTGTTGCCAAAGTTTTTTTTTCTTGTTACTGTTAACACTACCTAACACCATAAAGCTATTTCGTATCAGGTTTCTGTATGTCCAAATTGTGGTGGAGATGGTGAGGTGATTTCAGAAAATTGCCGGAAATGCTCTGGAGAAGGACGTGTGCGTATAAAAAAAAGCATCAAAGTCAAAATTCCTCCGGGAGTAAGTGCAGGTAGCATCCTTAGAGTTGCCGGGGAAGGTGATTCTGGTCCCAGAGGGTATGTTGAGAAAAGTTCGACTTGTCGATTAACAGTTAAGAAAATTGTATCTTTCTGTGATGGTTCTGATTTTTGGTAACTGGCTTTCTGCTTCCATTAGTGGACCTTCAGGAGATTTGTACGTATATCTTGATGTTGAAGATGTCCGGGGAATTCAAAGGGATGGCATAAACCTTTTATCTACCCTTTCGATCAGTTACCTTGACGCTATACTGGGTGCGGTTGTGAAGGTGATATAGTTATTTGAATCAGACATACAATAAGTCCACTCTGCTTACGTGCTGAGGATGTAATGATTAATCTAAAGCATCTTTGTAGGTGAAAACAGTTGAAGGAGACACTGAACTGCAGATACCTCCGGGTACTCAACCTGGTGATGTGCTGGTCCTGGCAAAGAAAGGTGCACCAAAACTGAATAGACCGTCCATCCGCGGTGACCACTTGTTTACAGTCAAAGTTACTATACCAAACCAAATAAGGTATTACCATGTTCGAATAAACCAGAGGTGTATGTGTCTGTAGATGCCTTTCTTTTGATTCGTTTTCTGGAAACAGTGCTGGAGAGCGGGAGTTGCTGGAGGAACTTGCATCTCTGAGTGATACATCTGGCTACCGGCCACGGACTCGTGCTAAGCCTCAGCGATCCACTTGTAAGCTGTCAACTTGTTCATCTCAGGAAAATCATAGGACTCTTTAAGATAACATTGATGTGAGACTATTTGATATACGTAGACACTGATGGATCCCCTAATCTGTATGCGGACTTTGGTTTTGCAGCTCTAAGCAGTGCACCTAGTAGCTCAGTGGACGGGAGAGATGAAGTTAGCGAGAAAAGCCAAGAACCGGAGCAAGCAAACGACCTGTGGAAGAACATCAAAGATTTTGCAGGGTAAATCAATAACAAAAAAATTCCGTTGAGTAGTTAGAACTGAAGCACATAATGTCATGACACAGTTATATGATACGTTGTTTTGTAGGTCGGTCGCAAATGGAGCTCTGAAATGGCTGAGAGATAACCTCTAGAGATCATTTATTAATCTGAGGGTCTTTTTGATTTGATGCACAGATTGTGAGAGGAGGGCGATTCTGCTCTACCTACACCTACTCCTTTTATTAGTACAGATACAACAACCGGTGTTTTCGAGTTGGCTTTGTGTTTTGGTAACAAAAATAAAAACAGAGAAATGTGTTCTTTTTCCCTCATTTTCTTTTTTTGTTTATAACAGAAAGAAAACTAATGGTCTTGTACCTATTCACCAGGTGGGACATTTATCACACAGCCACTTATAACCCTTTATCATTTGGAACGTGACTTGAATTGTTTTGCTATCGAATTATAGTGTAATGATGGATCATCAAATTCAAATGATACATGAGAGAGAGAGAGGAGGTATGACAAGAAAATGGAAAAAACAAAGTATAGTCGAGAGATCTACGGCTGTGAGGTCCAGATCTATTAGTAAATTCCGTTTTTGCCCTTACATAACTCATCATGTATAATAATACTGAGAAAAGGCCGAACAAAAAAGCTCAAAACCCTAAGTCCAACCAAAGTACAGTTGCTCTCAATTTCGATCAAAGAGCAGAGCCGAGCTCATCCAAAGCCCATTAGCCCCCGAGTTCGTCTCCCTCCTTTCTCTTGTTTTTTTTTTTCAAATCCTTTCGCCTAGATTCGCGCTTCCCATCGTTCCCGCCGCTACAATCTGTGAGAGTTGGGATCTGACTCGATTTACACTGCTGTGATTGAGAGGTCCTTCTGGATCTCTATCGCGTGTCCTCAATTCCTCTGATTTGATTGGTATTAACATTGTTTTCCGATCTTTGGAGTTTCTTATAATTAGATCCGTTCGCTGGTAATAGACACTTTGTATGTTTTTCTGCAGGATATGGATAATAATGCTTTGATGCTGATTGATAGCAATGGCTCTTTTGAGATTGATGAGCAATCCCACATGGCTTTGGTGACCCCCACAAGGCCCAGTGAGGATGTTGGGTTGCTGCCTAGACAGCCCGGCAAGCGCAGGAGGAAGAAGTCTATGGTGTGGGAGCACTTCACCATTGAAACCGCGAGCCCTGAATCCACTAAAGCTTGTTGCAAACACTGCAGGAAGTCATTCGCCTACATCACCGGCCAGAAACTGGCTGGAACTAGCCACCTTAAGCGTCACATCCAATTGGGTATATGTCCAATGAGCCGAGAGTCCTTCCCACAGCCCTCTGAAACCACCGCTTGTCCTCCCAAAAAACGCCAGAGGTCTGCAGCCCCTCTTGATCAACCTCGTTGCTACAATGAGATGGCCAAGATGATCATCATGCATGACTATCCCCTTCACATGGTCGAGCATTCTGGATTTGCTGCTCTCGCGCACGCCCTTCGTCCCCAGTTCAGCATGGCCAGCTTCAATACCATTCATGCTGATTGTGTCACTATGTACTTGTCCGAGAAGCACAAACTCTCTAACCTCATCAGTGACATTCCTTCCCAGGTTAACCTCACCATAGACTTGTGGACATCAAACCAATCTGTGGCTTATGCGTTTCTGTCAGGGCACTTCATTGATAGGGACTGGAATCTAACTCACAGGCTTCTTAATGTTGCCGTTGTTCCTTCCCCTGATTCGGATTTTGCTTTAAACCAGCCTGTTGCGGCGTGTTTATCCGACTGGAATCTCGAGAGAAGGCTTTCAAGCCTCACTGTTGGGCAATCAGTAGTAAATAAAACCTCTGTTGAAAACCTCAGATGCTGTCTGTCTGCTAGGAACCAGCATGTAATGAACGGCCAGTTGTTGCTTGGGAATTGCTATGCCCGCCTCCTAAGCAGTATGGCGCAAGATGTGCTTGGAGCTGAACATCTCCAAACTCCCATCACAAAAGTCCGCGATAGCGTCAAGTACGTGGAAACCATAGACAGTTGCGGAGAGAGGTTTGATGAACTCAAGAGACAACTCCAAATCCCTTCCACCAAAGATCTCCGCATCGACAACCGAACGAAATGGGACACAACTTACAATATGTTATTGGCTGCCTGTGAACACAAACAAGTCTTTTCTTGTCTGGGAAACTGCGATCTTGGTTATAAAATCTCAACCTCTCCTGAAGAATGGAGAAAGATCGAGACTCTTTGCTCATGCTTGAAGATTCTTTTTGACGCGGCTAATGGTTTGACCGCCCCCACCCGATTGACAGCAAACGACTTGTACCATGAAATGACTAAGTTTCAGCTAGAGCTCAGCCACGCAGCTATGAGTGAAGACCCAGATGTCAGAAACCTGGCGAACCCACTGAGAGAGAAGTTTGACGAGTACTGGAGAGGATGCTTCCTGCTTCTGGCAGCTGCTGTGGTGATGGATCCGCGCTTCAAGATGAAGCTTATTGAGTTTAGTTTCTCTAAGGCTTATGGGGAAGATGCAGAGCAATGGATCAGGAGTGTTGATGACGGTGTACATGATCTGTACCATGACTATGCTGAACAGAGTCACTCCTTGCTAGATGCTTATGTGGGCCACGGGAATGACAACTTTTCTGAAACATATATGTCTCAAGTTCAGGAGGCACAACTGGTGGAGGAGAAGCATGATGACATTCAGTCTGTTGGGGAAGCAGGACATGAGACACAGCCGGTGGAGGAAATGCTCGAGGACACTCAACCAGTTGAGGAAGTAACTCAGGAGGCACAGTTGGTGGAGGAGAAGCATGATGACATTCAGTCTGTTGAGGAAGCAGGACATGAGACACAACCGGTGGAGGAAATGCTCAAGGACACTCAACCGGTGGAGGAAATGCTCGAGGACACTCAACTGGTGGAGGAGAAGCATGATGACATTCAGTCTGTTGAGGAAGTAGAACACGATACACAACCGGTGGAAGAAATGCTCGAGGACACTCAACTGGTTAAGGAAGTAACTCAGGAGGCACAACTGGTGGAGGAGAAGCATGATCACATTCAGTGTGTTGAGGAAGTAGGACATGAGACACAACCGGTGGAGGAAATGCTCGAGGACACTCAACTGGTGGAGGAGGAGCATGATGACATTCAGTCTGTTGAGGAAGTAGAACACGATACACAACCGGTGGAAGAAATGCTCGAGGACAGTCAGCCAGTTGAGGAAATGGCACAGGCAGTGGAGCAAAGTCCCGAGGAAAAGGAAAATTTACAAACCGCAGATGGTGTTTTTGGCCAAGAATTTCCTGAAAGAGAAGCAGTGCAACAAGAGAAGCAATCAGATGAGGGCATAGCTTCAGAGCAGCATCCCTATGCAGTCGAGCAAGTTGAAGAGGCACAACATGATTCTCAATCACATGCAATGCCACAGGAAGAAGCTGCGTTTACGATCTCTCAAGAAGGTCACCACGTTGACGTCCTTCTCCAGGAAGGCCACCACCTTGAAGCATCTTCGCAGGAGTTTCCACTTATCACCATTGGAGATGGGTTTTCAGACTTTGAGCTTTACATCTCTGAGGTGGGCAGTCACCAGCAGATGAAATCGGAGCTCGACCAATATCTGGAGGAATCTCTGATACCGCGATCACATGACTTTGAGGTTCTGGGCTGGTGGAGCCTGAATCGAACCAAGTACCCTACGCTCTCCAAGATGGCAGCTGATGTCTTGTCCCTACCCTTTTGCACTGTCTCTCCTGATTCTGTTTTTGACACGGACGTGAAAAAGATGGACAACTATAGGAGCTCCCTTAGACATGTGACCTTGGAAGCTCTCTTCTGCGCCAAAGACTGGTTCAAGCGCGATTCCTCCACTTCCACCTCAGAGAAGAAGCTGCAGAAGGAATCTTGAGGTTTCCTTTCTATCATTCCTTTGATTTAGTGTTAGCTTACTATATTTTGTTGTAGCCACTGTACGCTAATCTGGATTTTTAGCCTTGTGTTTGTTTATGCTTTTTTTCCGTGTCTCTTTCGTGTTATTTATGTCTGTTATGATGATAGATTATCATTTTACTTTGTATGGCTCTCCTCATTCTTCTATGGCTTTCCAGAAACTCCAATCTGTTGAATCCAGTTTTGGCTTTTATGGAGACAGATTGCCTTCTGTGCTGAAGGAAATAACCCGAAAGGATCTCTGTGGGAAAAGTTTTTGCCTCAGCCCTTAAAGGATTTATCAATACGAGTGGATCATCGGAATCTATTACAAGAGTTAGCTTTCTGACCCTCCAATTATTATTAGAATTAAAACTTTAGGGATATTAGAATCCAATCAAATAACTTAGAAGTATAATATACAGCGCAGCACTAAGTATCTAAGACGGCTTCTCTGTCACAAGGCGAACATTATTCACACTCTCTTTAAACGCTTCCAAGGCAACTCTGCAGTGCTCTTTGGATCTCATCCCTTGCTCAACAACCTGAATCGCTCTTCTGTGCAAATGCTCGTACCATTGAGCCGGATTCATTATGTCCACACGTCCTGACCCGAAATCCGCCACATAGAGACGGTTCACGTCCTTGCGCCAACGTTGCAGTATATACTGAGACGGGACTTCCTCCAAGCCCATGTGGCTGAGTAGGGCGAGCACGTGTCTGCATTGGTACCCGTTGAAGCTGAAACCACCACAGGCGCAGAAGCAACGTACCTCTGCTGACGCACCTGTCTCGTACATGACCTCAAAGTCTCTCACTTTCTCTCCCTCCCGCTCTTTCACCACGTACGAGGAGGCCGTGCCGTTTGAGTGGACTTGCGTTACTCCAAAACATGAAGACATTGCCGAGACCTCCTCTTGGAACCTTGTAAATATCTCCTTTGTGAACACCTTTGCAATCTGCGACTCGTACGGGTGGGTTGTCTTGAGCTCCGGGTTTGACTCTGCGGACTCTGAATCGCACAAGGCTTCGCTCTTGTACTTCTTGTCCAGAAAAGATTCGTAACCTTCAAGGAATTCTCTCAGTGATGTGTGCTGGTGAACGTAGTCGCTAAAGATGAACGGGGCTGACGCATTTCCCAGAGGAAAACTCAGCGCCAAGGCCAAAAATGTATCCTTGAGGTAAACTGGAGCCCATTGTTGCCGATCTTGAAACAAGGCTTTGATGGTCTCGTGATTTGTCAGCCCAAAGCGTATGATCATCTCTTCCCAAGCCATTTCAAAATCTTGGACCTTGAGAAACCCGTAGACCACTCTGTTCAGTGCCATACGGAACGACTCGGAATCATGTAGCCCTGCGACGCTCTGAGAAATGGTTTGCAAGACGTGGGTCAAGCTAAGACGGTGATGAGCCCTGGGAAAAACTTCAGAGACTGCAGTCTGCATAGCCTTGCAGTGCTCTGTGACGAAGGTCTGTGGAGGACGGCCTAACATGCACGTCAGCCACGCCCTGAAGAGCCAGACGTAGGTCTCAGAGGACTGGTCAGCAACGAAACCAGAGCCGAGCAAGATGGAATCTCCGTGGTGGTTTATTCCAACAAACGCCACGAGGGGAAGGTCGTATGTGTTTGATAAACAGCTAGTGTCAAAGGCAACAACGTCACCAAAGTGCGAGTATGCAGCCCTAGCTCGAGCGTCAATCCAGAACACATTCCTCAGAGTCCCGTCATCGCCAAGATCCATCGAGTAAAAAAAGTTTGGGTTGGTAAGCTGAACCTTGAAGAAGAAGTCCTGCAAGACCCTAAAACCTCCTCTGAGATCCAGACGCCTGGAAGAGTGCGAGTGATCATGGCTGGGATCGCTCGTCTCCGCGCTAGAGTTTGGTGTGTCGATTGGGGCGAGGGCTCTATACAATTTGATTGTGCGGACTTGAACATCGAGAGGAGGAGGCTCTGGTTTTCTTTTGGTAGGGCCATTCTTGTGAGACTTGGAGTTGTGGGCTCTTTCGGGATCGAAGGAGTGGTTGTGGAGGAGTTTGACTTCATCAACTTTCCATCTATCAAGCTCGATCAATCGGAGGCGGACCATGGCCTGACAACCGGTTCTGGTCTCCTTACGGCGGCTGTTTGCATCTTTAACCATCTTGAAACCTTCACAGTTGCAGCACAAGACAGCGCCGCGCTTCTCCTTGCTGTTGCGCTTGGTCCACGAGGATTTGACCCGGATCGCAAAACCGAGCTCCCTCGCGTACGAGTTGTAGAAACTGTAGGCGTCATCGTACGAGTCGAATTCCATCCCCGTAACAGGAGGAGTCACCGGACACTTGGATTCGGCAGCAATTTCATCAAGCAGCCCATCACAATCGATTTGGAGATGAGCGTTGTCTCCGTCTTGTACAACCACCTGCTCGCTGCTCGGAGAACCTTCTTCGATCTGAAATCACAAGCAAAAGCCACAAGTGTGCATCTGAGAGCTTCGAATAAACCAACCCTAGTTCGGATAAATCGAATCTAACAACGACGAAAACACTTGTAGCGAAGAAAGAGAGGAAGGGGAGAACCGAACCGTGATGCAAAGATTATTAGGGTTGGGCGAGAGGGACTCGTCGGGCGGTGAGTAGACGCTACTACCGATCATCGTGAGTCGAAGCCCCCGCAGGATAGAGGCTCTGCAAAGTGTTTTTGATACTATTTTGAATGTGAGGGGCTATTTTATAAACTCACTCATAACTTCGGGGACGCAACTACAATTTTTGAAAACAAAGCTACGTGAAGCATCAAAAATGTTTCTCCCTGTCTACGTTGTTTACCGCTACTTCAATTTTAAGCAGACATGTATTTTGATTCAACTGTTAGTTTATGATAATGGTAGCAAACAAACAATACTTAATGGATGTATATCGGGGAGCTCCTTTTACATATCGCACAGAAACTAAGTAGCTAACGATGAAAACAAAACACATATTGGGACACAAGATGGGTAAATTGTAATGTGGGGCACAAAACCCCTTTAAATAAAACACATCAACATATGGGTACAAAATAAAAATTAAAAAAATTACAGATGATGGAAAGCCACAGCTCAAGGCTCTCAATAAACTCTTTTTGAGGCACAACCACCACCTGAAAATTAACACACAGGTCCAAAATCAATTCTGATATCATACTACATCCACAGGTCAATTTTATTTTTGCTCACTTCAACTGATGTTTTTCTTTTTTGAATTGGTTAGCTTAATAAATGGCGTACCTAATAAAATGGGTAACAATAGCAGCCCAAAGTGCTCCGTAAAACAGCTTGGAGAAGCAACAGAGACCTGCAGCAAAGGGAGTATCTCTCTGACTCTCTCTCTCTCACACCTCCTTTCTCAACTTATTCAAACGAAGAAGAAGACATTTCTTTGCCTTCTTTACATGTGCGCACTCACTTGCTAAAGCTCATCTCCGAGTATCTGCGCCACATATGCGGGTTAGTGTGTCATTTCTTAACATTCTTCTTTATCACAATACATGGTACCCCAACTACTCCTCTACTTGCTCCTCTTTCTACCATGCCAATGTATGCTCATTTGAAAAAGCAGTTATGAGATAGCTTCAAAACTCACCTACGAGGCTGCTTGTTTGGGTTGCTGTCCAGCCGTCGTGAAGTCCCATTGTTTGTAACTTCTACATCAAAGGCCACTAGCTTATTTTCAACCATTAACGACCCCAAACAATCCCCCAAAACATAAACAAAATCTTTTGAATCCATAATAAAAGACCCTGTTTGATTGACAAGCGTCGTTGCTTAAAACATATAATGCTTGAGGAACCATATCGAACATATTCATTGCTTGATACTAGTTACCAATCATATCAGAGTAAAAAAAAATTCATATTTCCTCCTCAAACAGCAAATGTTTCCCATACTATACAAAACAAGACAAAGCAAACATCTAATGTCAAAGCACTGGTCTCAGCCCAGAATGGACCAGGGATGGCGGGGAAACAAACTACTTACCAAGTCTCTCCATTGACTTTTCTTGATCATTTGGGTTATTACAACTGTTCTCTTGGCTGAACAAAAAAAAAATGCATTCATAACCACAGAAGATCAAACAAGGTTACATGAGTGCCCAACCAAGAAAGAATAAGAGAAAGTAACCCTGGTTTGTGTGCTTAATGAATGCAACATATTTTACATAGTAGATACACTACTAATGAAAACACTTCAAAAAAGGAATTCTAACGAATAACATGCATTTTGCAGTTGGTAAAGATTAAGAGAAATCCCATATCTAAAATCTCACATACGGTTGTTTCAGTTTAACTTAACGTTGCAATACTACTATTCATCTAGAGTAAAGTTAAGAGTCAAACACTTTATGGAAATATTCAGGTTGATTAACAATAATGAGAAAACGGCGAAATTAATTTATAAACCTGGAGGATCCCACGGAGGAAGGTAAATCTGGTTTGTGTGCTTGGTAAGAACCATCAATGGCAGCGTAAGGTGGACAATATGAAGCCCCTAATGCTCCCGGGCCAGTTAGTATTGGCAGCCTGTCAATAATATAAAGAAACAATAGCAGTAGTCAGGAACTAAACAAACAACAAACAGTAGATAAATAAAAGCAACAATTCTGGTTCAGTTCGGGAAAGATTAATTGGATAGAAAATCATCTCGAGTAACAAAAGCATACATCAAGCCAACTAACAAACACAGTATATAATTTTTCCAAAACACGTGAAGCTGAGGAAACTCAAAACTAGCATCCATATATATGGTACAGCGAGAAGGAAGGACTGTATACCATGTCATCTTGGGATTTCCGGTTCCATGTTCTGGTTGGGCATATCCTGGAAGAGCCATTCCAAAGGTCGGAACACCACCGTGCTGACCACCGAATTGCATAACTGCACATGACAAAATATAAGCATAGAAAAGAAAACTAGTCAGACATGCATATTAGCACCAGTATATACAGCAGGCGCTGATCTCAAGCAGCTCCAGACATGGGCAACCAATTCATTTAATGAGCACGCATGAATTGATTCTGGAAAATATCTTTTAAACATTCCAACGTAGGATGAACAGTGACATTCAAGAACAACTTACCAGGCAGAAAAGCAGGGAAATTTGGATTGCCATGACCAGCTGCCATGCTCCCGCCCGGCCCCATAAACTGTGTCCCTCCATACATAAAAGATCCCCTTCCACTAGGCTGGAGAGACCCTTTTCCCTTGGCAACCAAAGCACCTGTTTCTGTGGCTGACTCTATTTCACTAGAAAGATACTGACTTTTTGATGAGCCAGTTTTGGGTGGAGAAGAAGGCAGCAAACTGATAACAGCTGAATGTTGATCAAATGCCTGACCAGGAGGTTGATTACAGCTTTGGTCAGTGCCTTTTGGCATTCCTCTGATTTGCATTGACGAAGAAACTGTGTCACCCACTTTCCCAGGGGCAGGTGCACCTCTACCTTGATTTGCAGTCTGAGAAGGTTGGGTAGTGCGTACCCACGCAGAGCTGGATTTTGTATTCCCAAATTTCTTTCCAGGCGGCGTAAGGTTTTCATTAATGTGCAGTCTACCCATGCCAGCTTGTAAATCGTTTTGTGCCAAGTTACTGGAGGAACCTGAAGGATAAAATGGGGGAGAAGCTGAATTTAAGCTTGAGGCAACGACATCTTTTTTGGCTTGGATGGCTTCAGTCTCTATGCTAGCTGTTTCTGTTGGTGGACGCCCTGAATCAGCGTGTGACACTTTCCCAAAAGAATGCTGGGACCTACAGATTCAATGACACTAAAATTAAAGAGAGAGACAGAGTCCTTCCTGTGTTAACTCGAGAGGAAGCAAAACAGAAGGAGACTCACTGTTTGGTTTGCACAGAAGGTGCTTGATTGCCATTTTTTAAGGCAACCTCATATCTTCTGGGGCCTCTCCCTCTTGTGGCAGCCTTAGGAAACTGATTTTGATGTCCATTGCTAGTAAACGCTTTAGAATTGGTCCCTCTAGAGTATCCACGGTCCTGACCACGACCTCTGACTCGGCCTCTAGAAGTCCTCCTCTATGCTCACAAAGTATTATCAATCAATCAGCTATTTAAACTAAAAGAGGCGGCAAATGTATAAGCACCGCAAGAGGATATAAATGACCAAAATACAAATATATACATCATATTGCTTCTCCTGAGTATTCAGCTCCTCATACTTGTCATGTCCCCATTTTCTTTCATCTCTGGATTGCCAGAGCCTCCTACCACCACGCATTCGCCTACACAAGCAAAATCAAAACCTAAGTGAATTGACATTACTACTAGTGCACACAGGTTAAGAGTAAATAGTTGTACCTATTTGTGCCAGCGTCCATTTTCTGGAATCTGTCATCATGCATATAAAATGCTCCAGCGGTTGGCACCGCAAAAGGCTCCTTCTGCTTTTGTTCCTCTCCTTCCACAACATCAGCGGCAGTTTCCTCCGTCGCATCTTCCCCGTTCCGGCCATCAACTTCCACTCCCTTAGACTGAGAGACCCCTGGCTTGCCATTATCCGCTATATCGTCATCGACTTCTCCATAATCACCCTCCTCATCATCATCATAACTATCGCCCCCGTCGTTATCAGACTCCGCCTGTTCATCGGAATCGATGGCGGCCCCCTGATTTCCTCCCCGCTTCTCATCCTTAAACCCTTCATCCTCATCATCGCTCGCTTCTCTCCTCCTTGCCGCCAAGGAGCGCTTCAATTCCTCGGGATCACTCTCATAATCCGCGTCTTCTACGCCATCTGGGGCCATCGAGGGGAAACCACCTCCTCAGCAAAACCCCACGAAGAAATTAGGACAAGAGAAATCAGTCCGTAGCCTCGCTTCTACCGTAATAATCGCCGAATCAAGAGATGTCAATCATGACGACGAGATCCCAAGATGAAAAGTCTGAGGAAACCCTTAATTGCTTATTTTACTCCTGGCGATTCCTTGGACTGGGTTAAGAACATGCTACCATAACTTATGAGAGTTGTGTGTGAGTTTTGTTTTCAATTTTTAGGGAATCTATAATTGCAAATTATCTCATTTTCTCCCCTAGCTAACTATTTCTTCGGTTAATAATCCTGACAAAATACGAAATTCTTCTATTGGATCATGTATACCATAACAATAATCACTAACTTTTTCTCCTCAAACTATTCTCACAAAATTCAAGGCTACATATCATATGAAGATGTGTGTTTGACAACATGTTTAAGTCGAAGAAATGACATACATATGAAAGTATAATTATCGAAGTAATGAATAATTCATTAATCAACTAGGATCCGAAAGCAAACAAATCGACATTCTTCTAATTGCGCCGGTTCGAAAGACGTGAGCTGCGCAAACTACAAATATTTCTCCAGTGAAGCGGAAGAAATAGAAAATTTATTTCGGATTTACATTTCAGAAACTATGTACTACTGTTTCGGTACCCACGTCTTCACAGTTCACGTTAACCCAAGTCTTTGCTAATTGCTACCGTTAAGTTGGAAAGTTTCGCAAAATAAGATTCGGTACGTGCATGTCTATTCCCATCTTTAACCTGGGAATCAAAAGTCAAAACATATACCAATGGAATATTTCACTTAGCAAAAAATATTCTACAGGAGCTGGAATGGAATCTCTCTGTTAAAAATAGGCGGTGGCGTTTTAAAACCCATATTACATGTTTTTTTTGGTTCTTATATATATATAATGAATTTCTGTATGCAAAGCATAAGCGGAAGCATATACCCAGAGAGCAGTTTTTAAACAATATCAGACTCTTCTCTCTGCTGCTTCCCCATTACTCTGTTGACTATATCACTTTTCAAGGCCAAGAATGTTATGAACCCTACTCCTGTGGTGGTGTTAGAACTGTACAACAAACAAACAAACAAAATATCAGGTTGACCAATTATAACAAGGGAACCACATGCACCCAAAAAGTAAAGACAACATCATCAACCAATAATGATCTGCAAAAACAAGATGGAGATAGATGACCAGAGACTAAGAAACACAGATGACCATGATGGGACACAGATGCAATCAGATGCATGAGAAGCAAACGAATCAAATAATACAGACATGTTTTTCTTTTTTTAGATCGAGCAGCATCTTAGAATCAATAATCACCACCACAAATGTTATAAGGCTGACGGGTTTCCTTCACTAATCATACCCCACTGTTCTTCAGACTCGTTCCCATTAACTAGCACAGCGCCATCTGTTGAGTCAGCGTCCACCACAACAGCCTCTTCTTCCACATTCTGTTCCTTCCCATCACTACTCTCTTCCTCATGTTCCTCTTCTTCCTGTTCCCCAACCTGTTCATTAAAACAGGCAGTCCCAAACTTACAAAGCGACCACGGTCTAACTATAAAAATCCTATCAATCTGTTCATGATACATTGTCAATTATGGCTGAGAATATCATAAACTCTAGCGATAAACACATCAGGGTTAAAACACAATCCACCACAATGGCATGTAATGCATACCTCGTCGTGAACATCCCCGTGCTCAAGCCTCTCTTCTTCTTCAATTTGCATGATTCTAAAAGCTTCCACCAAAGTTGTATGATCTCTGTGTGCATGACCACCATAATCCCCAGCAGGAGGATGGGCGCCCCTGCCATACAAATCAACACAAGTATTTTGTTTGTGGGGATCCTGAATACTTCATATTGGCAGGATAACCAAGACAACGGTGGATTTATGTTTATACAGGGTACAATTTCTAATCAAAAACATGACGGCCACTTCGCTATCTAATGCAAAACCATGTCCCACAATTAACTTAGTGTCTTCATAAGCACTGTTTTCAAGAACAAAATAATGACGCCGAAAGATACCTTGTCTCAGCAGCTCTTTCTTCAAGGGACAGGGCGACATGCCAGTCCTCAAAGAGATTGGGATAGTCTTCAGGATCAGCCAGAGATTCAGCAGCCTTTGGACTTATCTATATGCAGATTAACAGTGAATCAAGAAAAGGTGTGGATTTCTCAACAGGCAAGGTTTATAATTTAATCATAAGATGCCAAGGAAATGTCTGACATGAACCTTGGTCAAATCGTTTCTCCACAACGCCACTATTTCGGAGACCTTGCTCGGAAGGTATGATCGTGCAATCAGAGCGGCTTCAGGTATCCGATTACTGTAACCAGACAGATATCAGCATAGACGTAACAAGTTGCAGGAATATATGTCCCCACTGTAAGAAACAGTAAAGATGTACCTTTCCACCAAAAGATGCAGACAGTCTTCTAATTGACCCAACATGAACAAGCAAAGAAAAGCGACATTTTTCTTTCCTTGCTCTTTAGCTAGTGCTGCCAGCTTCGTCAATCCTTCTGCATCCCCCAAGGAAGAATATAGCAGCAACAGACCACTCAAATCCATAGCATGCCTCATGCATTCCTCAGCCATGTCCAGCTAAGGTGATCCAAGCATGGTAAGAAAAATGAAAATAAATGAATATTAGCTCTAACCTTTGTAAAAAAACTAGAACACTAGTTACAATTGAAAGTAAGTCACCTTCCCAGTGGACATCGCTAATTCTCCAAGTTGCTTCCATTTTGACTCACTTTGTGCTTCTACAGCAATGTCCTGTCAAAATGTAAAAATTGAATGACAACATATTGGCGAGTCATAACTCATAATAATAAAGCTTTTCCAATGGTTAAAACTACAGACTGACCTTTGCAACCTCCAATCTACCGAGCTGTATGGCCAAGTCGAATCTGTAATCGGGATCAGTAGCTACTTCCAGAGCATCTTCTGTCATACCACGTGATTCCAAAAAATGCGCCACGCTGACAGCAGGAGCAGGTTTTAAAGTTGAGAGCCAGAATTAGGAATGCGTGAATTTTAAAAAACAATTAAACCACGATATGACCTAGGATGCATGTTCACTAACATCATAATGCAACTATAACCATAACGCGTAAACTATGATAAGTTACAAGGGAATACACAATCTCATACCTATTATGATGCTCCTTAGGAATTGAGGGTAAGACTTGATTAGCTTGTTCCAAATCTCCACGCATCACAAGAGTCTTGTACTCAATCAAACTTAAAAGTAGAGTGTAACCAATAACACTGTAAACAATAAAATTGAGATAGAAGTCAGAAAGTTATAACAACATTGGTCAGCAATATTAACAGTAAAATTTTTTGCTTACTTGAACTCTTTGTCAATTAAATAAACTCGACTTTGATTAGCGAGATAACCCAACAAGTACATAGGACGGTCCAGATGATACATTGTCGTTACCTGTATTTTAAGAAGATTACTGAACATCCTTTACAACAAAATCAAAACACCTCTTTTTCTTCCAAGATCCTAGAAATGAGCCTTACCTCACCACCAACACAGTAGTTAAGCCTCCACGAAGAGTTGGTATAGATAAAACAATCCCCTACCCATAAGCCAGTCCGAACACGTTCATTGGTTTCATTGAGAAGCTCAAACGCGTCCTCAATACCTTCCTCGTCAACTTGTTTACCGCCATCCAAATAAGAGGAAAGAATGTCGCGCTAGAGCAGAACAGTAAAAAACAACTTAAAACAATGTATTGGAGAGCAATAGTACAAGGAAAAAAGTAAGGAAACTCTATTAGACTTCTGGTACACAACCAGACTTTAAAAAAAAAAACCTTACATTGAGCTTAAGGATGTAGAATGATGAATCACTTGCAATTGCAACTAGATCGCCGCTGTCAGCCCAATAAAGATTCTGAGACGATACAATAAAGAAAAAATTTAGAAGTGAATACAAGATTTTGTTGCAGAAAAAGAGCAGTAGCAATCTGCTTTTGCGTTTAAAATCAGATAAGATGCTCTCTTGTATTCCTCCAATGAAAATATTTCAGAAACTGTAACCTATAAACCACTTTCTTGTTAGATGCTAATAGAGCTACTACTTCTAGTATAAAACACTTACTTTGACGGTAACATCTATTCGCCTAATCAACCTACATTCCGCCCAATCATAGAAGCAGATAAAATCACTTGAGCACATTGCCAATAGCGTCCCACCAAAAATGTGCTCTGCTGAGAAAGTAGGCCTAACAGTCTTTTTTTCCTGCATATTATTAACCTAGACTGTCAGTATAGGTTAGTGTAATTTAGATAACAGTAATCAGAACAAAAGAAAAAGATTTAAAAGTTAATCAATGGTAAAAGGAACATGCCATAAGGAATCACAAACCTGGAAGTTCTTGCTGAAGATCTTGATCTTTGACGAGCTTTCCCTGACAGCATGTTCCCCCTCAGATGACCAAACAAATTCCAGTGCCGAGCCAAATGACCTATTTCTCCATGCCAAGGCAGTGTAGATAATGTACTCACCATCTCCACAAACAACGACAAACCTACCATTAGGGTTGTGCTTCAAGCTCTGAAAAGCAAAAAAAAAGCAAATAACAGAAACATAAATGACAGTGGGTAATCACAAGATTAAAAAAGATTAAGGTCGTATTTTCAACTAATACCAGTAATCTATCAAACTGCCTGCGAAAACAAAAATAGCAACATGTAGCCGAAAACGTTGGCACTACATATTCACTACATCTTCAGCAAATGTAAGCAAATGACAATCCACAGAAATGAAATCGGATTCCCACCATCACCTAAAGCGAGTGATAATGTATACAATTAGAAGGATACCACTTACTTGAGGATAAAGATCGCAGGTCCCTAGCTCTTTAACAGCCAAAGGCAGTCTCTCACCATCAGTGACCTAAGTAAGCCCACAACCAAATGATAAACATTCCCAAACTTGAGATGGTGTTCAAATTTTAAAAAAACAACAATATAAAAGTGTTCCCGAAACCTCATCTGTGCCCAAGCTCTTGATGTTCACAGTATGTATCTCATTGTGTTTAGCCCAAATAATTTTCCCACTGTTGTCCATACTAGCCACTGGTATTTCACGGCCAAGTTTCACCATTATGGACCCTTCGTCATAACCAATTACAACCCTGAAAAAAGATATGGAATTATTAATAAATCATATGTGAAGGTAAGTGTACCTTTAGTAAGGCATAAATATTGCCATAGGAAAAGTTCAGAAACTTACCGGCGTGAACCTTTCATGTGTCCAATAGCCCAAACTCTCTCAAGGCCATAGTTCAATGTATTCTCAAGCCTAAATGTCAAATATTAAGTAAAATTGTTGGATGAATCTACTTACAAGACTTTTGAAAAATTGAAGAATCAATGGTAACTCCAATACATATATCATACGAGTTACCTGTAAGTGGTGGCATGCCATATGCGAACAGTTCCATCTTCGGATCCCGTGATGATTATTGGAAGCTCTGGATGGAAACATACTGCAGAAACATTGTGTGTGTGACCGTCAAGTGTCTGAACGCAACTCTTTGTTTGGTAGTCCCACACCTGCTTCCAGAAGACATTTATGAACAATAGACAACCGTGCAGGAACCTATATACAAACAATACATATGGAAATATATACAAGCACACATATACAGCAAACAACTCGCAAAGAAGCAAGACAGATCAGTACAGACCTTAGCAGTATGATCATCAGAACCAGTGATCAGGTATGGTTTATCCCCACCAGTAAAGTAGTCGACACAGTTGACCCCTTTCAGATGTGCATCCAGAGTAAAATTTGGATCTGGAGAACCAAGATTCCATATCTAGAGAAAAAAAGAAACAGGAGAAAGGTTTAGCTTCTCATACTGGGAATGAACATGAAAGGAACAAACAACATGCGTCTTAAGAGATTAATCTCACTTTTATGGTACGGTCAAGGGATGCACTAGCAAAAGTATTGGTGTCTTTCGGATTGAAAGTCACTTGCATAACATAATGGGAATGCCCTTCGAAAATCTGAGTGCAAAGCCAACCCTTCTCCCAGTCCCAGAGCTTGATAAGCATATCATCCGATGATGATAACACATAGGGAAGGGTGGGATGAACAGCCACACACCTGATGTAATCAGCATGAGCCTCAAATACTTTGATCTTATCCATTGTGTTGTAGTTGTAGACACGAATAAACATGTCATCAGCTGCAGCTACAACCCACTGCTTGCGTGCAACAAACTTAGCAGACCGAACTGCACAACAATGACATAAACTCAATAAATGCAGTGTTTAAGCATAAGGAACAACGAAATGCTGTAGATCGTACCTGGCAATTCAGTCACCTCGAAAGATTTGACCATTGTCTGCAAAGTCATATGGTGATTTTGGGTTAACAATAATAGAGAGGCATCAGAGTTATGAATCAGGAATAAGATAAGATATAGATAAAAGCAAGAGGTGATCCAAAGATGGGATACTCATATCTCATACCTGTGTCTGATAATTCCAAATGCACAATGTTCCGGAATACAAACTTGCCAGGATCCTGTACCAATTTACTGATCAGTTTTTCACTTGAACAAAGAACGGTGGAAAGTAGAGACAATGCAATAATCAAATTACCATGGTTCTGTTGGATGAAGATCTACAGATTTGACTCTTTCTGATCTTTGAGCAAATTTGCGCTGATTCAAACATATAAGCGTGTCACTCGGAAGAAGGATGATAAGATGAAAAGAGGTCTAAATGGAGCATCAAACAAACGAAGGAGACGAATTACCTTGATTTCGAGTCTCAGAGGCTGTTAACAATTCAAACAAAAGCATATAAACTTAAGTTAGTGCCGAGCAGAAAACAAAAGGATCTCGAACAACTCTCTCTCTCTCTCCGATTATATAAGTTGAAATTCTGATTCTCTCGAGAAACCAAAATCACGGTGCCGAGTAACAAGAAACCCAGAAAAACGAATTGATCCAAATACTGTTTCAATATACGCATTTAGAGATGTAAGAAAAACTCTCGATCCGTTCAACAAATGAAATTGAGAAGTAGATCTGCGGGGGATCGAGGGAGATGATAACACTAACCATCTTTGCAAGCCGAAACGAATGTCAGTACCGGAGGATGGGCTTATCGTCGGAAGAGCGCAGCGAAGGAGAGTAATGCAGAAGAAACGAGAGAAAAGGCGTTGGGGGGTGATTCTGCCTACTTGAAGTTGCAGTGCGTAGGCGTTGGCGAGGTGATCCGATTTGGATCTGAATCTGACTGTGGGCTACTCAGTGTCCCACTATGCGACGTCGTTTTCTATCAATCGCTCACGGCTTTATTTCACTCACCCTGTCTGATGACCATATTACATTCCCTGTTTAGCTGTTAACGTTATTTGAACAAGTAAATTTGACTCAAATTGGTGGTAAAAGAGTGATGAACAATTACACAAAGCAACACCGGTGGGAGATGCGATCCGAAACAAAGCAAAATACCGCAGAAAGAAAAGAAAAAAAAATAGGTTCGAGTCTAATGGTATTTCATACAAAACAAGTAATCGGAAATGCAACAAAGGCATATTCCAAAGTCACTAGAATTGCAGGCAGAGGTGTTCCAACATGGCTCAACATCTTTTGCCCAAATCGATTTCACCTCTCTACATACATCACAAGTGTGGCATCAAACCCCTGCGCATAGGCAACCAGAGATTAGATTTTGAATTTGAATTTCATATGAAAAGTGGTCTCTACTCATTTTCAGTATCTTACTTGAATGGAACCGATCCATAGGAATCTCTCGCTGTTCGCGTTTGATGCACAAGTACTCAGCGAGCAAAGCCATTACGGCCAGACCGGTTCCATTGACAACCCACCATGCCATAGAGGAAGGCCATCCTCCATACATGATGCACAACAAGAGATGAATGATATAGAGAGTTGCAGAGAAGTCTAAGCATTTCCGGGCTCTTTCCACCAAGAAAACCATGTAGGCAGCCCTGCGACGAAGCATGAGATTAGCAAAAAGCTGAGAAGGAGAAGGAAAGAGTAGAGTGAAGGTTGTAGTAATCACTACCCAGCCACGGAAGAGAGCAGGAATGAGGCAATAACACACCATCCGGTGAGCGTAGAAGTAGTGAGGGTGGCGTAATCGAAAAAGTAGACAAGACTAAGACGAGGGACCCGAAGGCCAAGAAAGAGCATCGTCAACACTCCCAGAGTCAGATAGTATGAGCACTGAAGGCATACAATCTGCCCTACAATGAACCAGGGGTCCCATACAGCTGTGCCATAGAACATGCCTGCCTTGAGATTCTAATACCACGCTAATCCCCTCGAGATCGATTCTCTCAAATATTCCTTGTTTTGGCTGCCTTCAGATCAAAATACCGCGCTAATCCCCTGAGAATCGATACTCTCGAGTATTCCCAGATCGTCGAAAGCCTAGTTTTGGCTGCCTTCAAATCAAAATACGCTAATCCCCTGAGAATCGATACACTCGAATATTATTCCCAGATGGTCGAAACTCTAGTTTTGGCGGCTTCCACTGAACTACACGATTTTAATCCGATCGATAACGCAGCGATGAAATGCATTACCCGAGAACGAACCTAAGATCACGGATGGAATCTACGAAGCTCGTAGATTCGAGACTTGATCAAACCGGATCCGCTGAATCCGCACAGCTAGAGATGCACGAACGCCAGATCGATAATTCTCATGCTCATGGACATCCAACGACAAGGTAGTACGATACAGCCACCTTCCGATTTCGCAGAGAGAGAGCGAGCGAGAGAGAAACTTTGGTAGCAAATTAGTACTAGCAAGCGTCCAGAAGCGGATAAACAAAAACGTTGAATAACTATTAAAGAAGAAGATACGGTACAACGAAGACCGCATAGCGCAGTGGATTAGCGCGTTTGACTTCGGATCAAAAGGTCGTGGGTTCGACTCCCACTGTGGTCGATGACATTATTGTATTTTTTTTCCCACATTTTTCCTTGTTTTGTACTGTACAGAGTGTGACATTTATTCATTCTAATTCATAGTCGATAGACAATTGAAACAGAATAATACAAGTGTAGTGTAGAAACAAGACAATCGTACAAAGTTGGAACTAGGAAGAAGACCAAAAGGATGAGCCGGGGCAACAGGCCACAACAAAACTCACCCGCATCAAAGTAATATTTTATTCAACACACGAAAATGCACAAACCTAGCCTTACAACACCTGAAAGCCCCAAAAAAACTCAGCCTCTCTCGTTGTAACTTGATCCAGGCGAAGAATCTTGTTCAACAGATTCCTTTGAGCCAGGCCTGTGTTGATGAGGTTGGCGGCTAAAAGAATCATGATGGGCTTGGTGTTTCTCAAGACCTCCAAACTCTTTGGGGTCACAATCCAGGATGCAGTCACCGAATATATGAGTTGTTTTAGGGTTTGGGCCATGAGAAATGATACATGTGTAGTCCTCAGAGAGAGCCATCTCACGGGTGGGGATAATAATAATATCCTGAGGCCTTGGGGCAGCGTTTGAGTCATACTCATCTACTGCACAAAGCTGAGCCTTGATTTGAGGGGCAAGCACAATGTTGTCCCTTCTGAATGAACCATCATCACCCCAGCCCTTCTCGGAGCTTACAACAGAGAGCCCGACTTTGTCGCAAAACCATTTGTTGAGTCTGGGAGAGGGAGACTTGGGGCTAAACACCCTTCTAAAATCAAGGGGAGAAGTAGGGCTCCTCCCCGCTTCAGGAACTAACTCTGACCTCTCTGGATCCGCCATTCCAAGCTCTTCCCTGGTTGTTTCACAATATAACACATGACAATACTTTAATCTGCTGCATATCCTATCTGCTTTATTTAATTGAGCCTAAATCCTTCAACTAATCAAACCTAACCAACGGTTGAATTTAATCAGACTCAGTTTCAAATCAAACCTAAATCCCACCACACACATTAAAGCACCTTGCTTCTTCTAATTCATGGACACAAGTGGATGGATATCAACGACTGTTGAATCAAATGTATGTAAAGTCAGTAACACTGAAGCCCCCCAAGAAAATGGTCACACAAATAAATGGCGTTTCAGAGCAAAAGACGACTTTGGATAAAATCACAAGAGTCAAAAAAGCATATACCATAGTTGCTTCATCAATTGCTCCGGCTAAGAGGGAAGCCAAATGCTGGTGCTCGATCGATCTTACGAAATCAACAGAGACGAATTTGGGGAGTTTCTTCTTCTCGTCGTTATCTTCTCTCCTGGATGATGGTATTAAGAAGAGAAAGAGAAAAATAAAAAATAAAGGATACGTACAAGGGTCGTATTGTTGCAGAGTATAAAACTGATTTTTTCCTCTTTTTATATTTTATTTTTCTCAAGAGAAAGTGTAAAATCAAATCAATAATGCGAGGAAAAGTATTGAGTGTAATCACACCGGAAGCAACGCGTACGAGTGTGATCGTGTCGCCCATTATACAAACTAGGAGACAAGTTAAAAAAAATTGTTTTTTTTTCTGTTTGATTTGTAAAGATGATGAACAAAATATATTAAATATATAACTATAAAATCTATCTGTTGCGATTGCAAATCAACATCTGAGGATTATTCCTTTGAAGGTGAGATGATACTCTGATTAATACAGAATATACCTATTCTATAAATCTCAATCTTTACGCTAACATGACATTTAATGTCAAGGAACGCACAATAGATAACGAAATAACACACTTCATAATTGTAAATTTATGCAACAACCACCCCATAATATATGACATAGCTATGCTAGAGTTCTTTTAAATCACATGTCGACTTGACTTTCAAAATTATAATTTCAAATAGACTTTTATCGTTACTGGTGGATTGCATTTGGTTCATTATGTTTCGATACCTACTTTTCTGTTTAATCATAATACCACTGTGTAATAATGATAGTTTATCCACGCAGCAATTGAATAATTATTTATAATGAATTCCAATTTATAAAATAACCAGGGATCACCATAAAAATAATAATTGAGAGTTGTAGGGCTTTACCCAGAAGGGATCCCTTCCAGAAATTCTCAAAGGCATGAGAGTCCTGCCCAGACCCATCATGGTTTGTCTGTAAATTTCAAACTAAGACAATATATGCCATGTAGTCCAAAGAAAAAGGACAATATGCCATAAAAAATGTTGAACTAGGAAATTGTAGGGCTTTACCCCAAAGGGAGCCCTTCCAGAAATTCTCGAAGGCCCAAGGCAAGCTTAGGCCCAGGAGGGGGTTTGGAAATAGTTTTCAACCAGCAATAGACGCGCCTCGGTTAGTACCTCATTAGCTGCGTCATTGCCCCAAGCGCAAAGATGACTTTTTAATGGGGTACTCGGATTCTTTTTATAGCGTAAGCTTATTGATATTCAAAAGTCTCACAAGCGATGTGGGACAAATACACGAACCGACTTCAAGCTCAAATGCTTATGCGTCTTGGGCCTCATAAGTTTTGTGGGCCTTAGTAAATCGGAGCCGATAACCCAAAAAAGCAGACTATCGCAACGAGACCATTAACTTGGACTGATTTGGTTCAAATAAAATCTTCGGCCAGTAAAGAGAGAGTATCAAGTCATCATCAACAGGAATGAGTCGGTGTAAATTAGTTTCACTTGCAATTACGAGTATTCAAACATGCATTCAATGCAGAATCTGGAAACTTATGGGAACAGATATAATAACAAATCCAAGAAAAAAAACTTGCCATTAATGACGTTACCTCACTTTCATAGATACAACGTAAAGCGTTGAACAGTTTTGAGATTGACCAAGCTTGTGTTTAAAGCTGGGATGGTCCTCCTGCTTTTCTTAAAAATCTCCAGAATTGGTAAAAAATCTCAGCCAAGGATAATATCAAAATGGCGAGGATTGCAACATGAGATGATGAGTTTGTAGAGAGAGAGTTGGGGGAAGCACATCAAACAATGCCAAACCAATTGCAGAAATCGCTGCATGGATACCTGTCAAAGATAAAACGAGAGACAGGGAGGCTGCATTTGTCGTCGTCGAATTCATTGTCATCATCGAAGAAGTGGGTGCTTGCTGGCTATAGGCATCCCAAGAAGCTCTCCTTCTCCTTCAGGCACAAACGACGCGCCAGCAAGACCAGATTCAACGACGACCACGTTAACCAGGATTCCGGTCACGCCGCCACCTTGTCCGACATTGATCGTTTCCTCGAGGAAAACTTCAAATCCCTCTGCATCAGAGATGGCGATGACGAGGAGCACAACGACGACCACCGGATGAGCAAAAGGAAGGAGAAGAGGGAGTCCTCCTCAGATGACGACGACACCGACGAAGACGACTATCGTCACAGATTCGAGAGGTCATGGGGACCGGCCGTCTACGACTCGCCCAAACCGCCAACGCCGGATCTGCGGAGAAGAGAGCGGCTATCTCCGCCGCCTGGTTCGTCGGAGGGCAGGCCCAGCATGGACACAACGTCCACGTCGGAGGGGAGACAGTCTAGGTCCAACTCATCCACCACGGTGTTGCCGGAGGACTGCATCGCGGTGCTGAGACACACGGCGGAGCCTCAGGAGGATTTCAAGCGGTCGATGGTGGAGATGATGGAGTCCAAGTTTGGGATGCGGGAAAACGAGGTGGACTGGGACTTGATGGAAGAGCTACTCTTCTGCTATCTCGATCTCAACGACAAGAAATCACACAAGTTCATACTCAGCGCTTTCGTCGATCTCATCATCGCTCTCCGCGACAAGGAGAAGACCATCACCAGGAAAGGACATGTGAGGTCGCACAGTACTCGTGCCGCCAGGGAGAGGCTCAGGAAGACCATGATGACCAAGGGCGACGCCTTTCGCAACTAACTATTTGCAAATTCCCCTTTCCTTTTTTTTTCTTATTTGTTGCAACTCAAAACTGTTCCTTTCAAACAAATATGTTACTTTACTTTGTCTTTCTCAGCCTTTTACATTTAGGACTGTTAGTTAGTGTTACTTACAAAAAAAAAAAAAAAAAAAGAAATGAAGAGCGAGCAACAACTAATGTCCAAGATCAAAAGAAAAAAAGATGAATGAGAATGATCAGGCTTCTCTTTTCCTCGTTTTGATGCATTGCTCATATGCAGGACGATGCTTTACTGGCACAAAGTCCCTGAATCTGTTTTTTAAAACAAGGCACAGATTTGTATGTATCAGAGACGGTAGCCAAATTGCACACACAAAAGCTGGTCAAGGCAATTACAGATTAATTACCCCATGAGAAGATGATCTCTATCTGCCCCACAGAACAGCTGCACAATGGATTGCATCACGTTCAATAATTTAAGCTCCTTCTTCTTCAATGCTTGCATGTATCCAATGAACTTGTTATATTCTTCTGTGTTGAGCTTTTCTTTCACCTAGAGTCACATCACCAGTCCAATGGGTACACAAATCACTTGATAGACGTACTTACGAAAGACAAAACATGAAAAATATGAGGGTGGGATCTAACCTGGCTCAAAAATGCAGATGCACTTGCTTCCTTGTTATCACCACCTCTATTCCCTATCTCTTTAGACAACGAGGACGATGATGCAGTTCCCTGACTCTCTGGAACCTTTCGCTTTTTTATTAGCCCCATTGTGTTGAAGCAGGTGCCCGATGCAGCCTTCTCTGTTTCACAAGTCTGCTTCTCATAGTTGTTGCATTCTAGATCAACTACTTCACATCTCCTCTCTTCCGGAGTCTCCTCGTCACTTATTTCTATAAACTTTGTCTTCCGTGAAGAACAAGCCTGCATCGCCTCTCCCTTTACAATGCGAGGCATCTTGCCCTTACGTTGTAGAATGGTCAGGCCTTTCCATTTTACATTACTTCCAACACGCTCCGAAGCTGAAGCTTGATTTGCAGGAGGCATTGCTTCCAGTCTACCCAACTCATTTCGTGCAACCCCAGCGCTCTTTACATAACTATCACCTGCAAATGATCAAATACCCAAAGCAAAATTGCAACATAGAGTGTTGTGGTTAGATTCACATTATAACCATGTGCAAAAGGAAGACATCTTTTCTCGCCACAAGAATGAAGGAAAATGAACCACTGACCCATAGGAGCATCCTTGGTTGACTCCGTTGGTAACAATGTAGAAACTGTATCGAAAAAAAATTCGGCTTACACTGTATGTCAACCAAATACTTGAAAACAGGAAACTACAGCAAGAAGGTCTTGTGGTCACAAGATAAGCAATTGTATACATAGCTGAAGGAAATGCACAATGAAAGATAAGCAATTATATACATACCTATATTGTTCTCTTGCTCTGTTACACGCATTGCAGGAAAATTTAATCTTTCAGTCCGGAAAAACCGAGCAAGGTCAGAAATGACCTCTCCATATCTAGGGTAGCACTGCAAAACCAGTAAACCCAGAAACAAACTTACTCTCCATATAAAGCAGAGGCGAGACAGAGCAGAAACGCATACCTTGACATACGGTCGTATCCACAGTGATATCTTGGACTGTTGGGACGGCTGTTCAAATCTGTCAACAATAGCCAATGTACAAAATAATCAAGAACTAAACGAGAATGGATATAAAATTTACCCAAGATCGAGCACTGTTTCTAATTTATCTGAAGAATACAAATTATACAATAGCGAGTAAAGTTTAGAAAGAAAATGTCAGACACTATATCAAGTAAAAGCTATGTCATATAATGAGAATATGTCTCAAGGCTAAAACTGGGAGTGCCTTAACTGAAAGATTTCATGCGCTAACTATTTGTCCATAATAGCATGAACATTCTTGCAGAAAGCCAGAGATAAAAAGAAACCATGGATAGCACGAACAAAACCTGTCATCACAGAAAATGATAGCTCCATAATCATGGCGATGGCGGATAACACGTCCAATAGCCTGATTCACAGCCCGTGCGGCTTCTTGACCGTACCACATGCTTCCAGAGAGAAAGGTTGATCTTGGAAACTAAAAACATGTAAGATGGACGTGTTATCAACTTATCATTTTCATGCTGAGCCAAGAACGGAGCACATATTGACCTCACCTTGACATCTGCAAGTTGTGATTGCTCATCCAAAAACTCTCGTTTCAGTTTAACCTGTTTTAAAAATGGGTTATCAATGCTGGAATGCAATTAGCAGAGTAAGTAAAAAGCTATGCAGGAGATGAACAACATGCAGAAAAGATAGTATCATACAAACAAAATGACCTCTCAGTGCCAGTCTGAATAACAGTGAAGACAAAAATTATGAGAAATAAGCTCTCAAAAAGAGCAAGGCGCCCACTAGTTTTTGTTACCAATTTAGCTTATGAGAAATAATGTATTTTCAGAACGAAACTGTGAAGGATAGAGAAAACAAACCCTAGGATCAGTCACCCTGGCATAAGGTAACCCAGTAATGACAACAGCTCTGCCAGCGCCGTCAGCAAAATCCAGTCCTTCACTGACCTGAAAACGCAACAGAGACCAGCCGTACTGAAAAGACCCTACACAGGAGAAACTTAAAACAAGAAATCTCCTATTTCTTGTACTAGCATCCTCATACAGACAATAAGGACTCTCAGGATATCACTTATGAGAGAGGAACTTATTTCCTACAGGTTGAAGAAAACGTACCTTTCCACGACAAACTGCAAAAAATACCGCACCCAAAATTGATCTGTCTTGCAATTTTTCTGAAAAGTCCTAACATCAAATAGAAAAAATACATGGAACGATTATATTAATCGTATTCTTTTATGATTTTTTTGTAAACAAAAGAACGTAGATCGGAGGAAACTGTGCTCACCTGCATTGCTGCAGGAAAGAGGGAAGAATCTTTAGGTTCAATGACAGGTTTCTTTAGTTTGCAGATTCTTTCCCATATTGTCATTGAGTTCCCGTGACACTGAATGATGGAGAAACGGTCAGTTTTCAAGTTAAAGAGTACTAAAATTTTCATACTCAGATTTTTTTTAACAACTGCCATACCCCATCTTTCCAAAATGCAATGCAACGGTCCATAAGGTAGTAGGAAGGGAAAAATACCAGCAGCCCATCAGGCACAACTCGAGAAAAGTTAACTGCAGAGCAAAAACATATGATAACCAATTAACAACTATAGGAATTACAGCTTTTTAGACGCGCTCCCCAGATTCTAGATCCCGGCTCACACATCAGAATGATACATTCAGGCACCCAAAATGAACAACCAGATAGCAAACCACTTACCAATAGCATTGCCAAGTTCTTGTTTGTACTCCGGTACATCACGATGGCGGTAGCTAGAATTAAGAACACAGCCTGATGGACCAGTACTTACAACTCCAGCCCATAGCTGATTTGAGGATATAACATGGGGATTCTCCAACCGAACAGGAAAGTCTCTGCATTTTCCAAAAAAAAAAAAGATGTTTTCAATAAAAGCTGGGGATATGAGTCAGATAGAGAATAATAACGAGAGAATACCATAGTGATAAACTCACAATTTTAGTTCTTGAGCCAATGAATCCATGGGAGACAAGGTCCCCGATGTTAAAATGATAGTCCCAACACCTTTTTTTGCTATATCCTGCATGGTGATCCCAGGATTGAAACACCACCAGCTAAGCGTTCTTGATGCCTTGCCTATAAAATAAGTTAATCGTTTATTTTGTCTAAAGTTGTGATTGATTTGCCAAAAAAAAAAAAAACTGTAGAATACAAAATGATTATTATATTGGGAATGCAGCATCCTTTTGTTTTTAAGGCTATAGAGTCTTATTCACCTTTAATGACATCAGTAGAATTTTGCTCAAGCTCCTGTATATGAACCTAAGAAAGAACGAGAGTGAAAGATATAAGTAAAAAAAGGTGTTTTCTGCAAATGAACTTATTTATAAAATTCGGAACGGGATATAAAGAACAGTTTGCTTAAAACTTACACGGTAAACATCTGCATGGTTACTTCCATTTTCTCTAAAGATCAGTTTAAGCATGTCAGCAATGATTTCTAGTTTGCTTCCAGCGTTGGTCCCTGTTCGCTGTTTCTCCTCATCCAGGAGCACTGCAGCTTCCTCAACTGTATCGATGAGTTTAGGAGCAGTTTCCTGAGTAATGTTGAGGCTTTTAAGCATTTCATATATGTAAGGCCCAGGCTTGGTAAATCCCTCATCCCTTCTCGGAATTGGCACTTTAGAAATCAGTTCCTGCAACTTTAATAGAAGTCCTGCAACGCATAGATGAGGACAGACATGTCAATTTCATTCAAGTCTAGCAGATCATTGTACTAACAGTCAAGGCCCCAAGTTTAACCTTTAAGTATGGCAAAATTCTCAGGGTTCATGGACCCGTCATTTAATGAACCCCTTCTTGCTGACGCTAGTTCTACACATTCTTGCGCCTCAGAAATGCAAGCCGATAAAAGCACAGAAGGAAGGTCAAATGAAGCTGAGTCTGCGCATAAACTTTCCTGCGCATATTAAAAAGAAAAAGTGAGTGTTGTGGCAGTTGGAAACAAAATATAACCGAACCTTGATACGATAACCCGGAAAACAGAAAAAGGTAAAACAAAACCCCAAGAGGCGGGCAGTTCATGAAAAACAGAAGAAAATGATATGTGGAACATCTAAAATCCGCTTACTAGATTGTGAGCTTCATCAAAAATCAGGACGCTACTATTCCAGTTGACCTTCAAATACTTCCTATAGGCATTGCTGATCAAGTAGTTGTATGGTGTAAATAAGATGTCTACGTCCTTGTGAACCTCTCTTGTGATATAATATGGGCATCTGCAGAATAGAAACTCGGTACAAATGGAGAAACGTAAGACAACATGTGGGTAACGAGAAAGAAATAATGTTGAAGTAGCAAATAAAAAGAGGAACTTACGGTCCAGAATCTTTTCCAATATTGACCAAATCCTCGATGTCAACTGGTTCGTCGCCAATGTGAGGGTTGTGCTTCAAATAATCTGCAAGCAGGCAATGGTTGTGTGATGTTGCAATAGGCAGGCGCAAGTCGTTCGACAGCGAAGTGGTAGAGTCCGAATAAGGAAAAGTACCTGGAACCCGATTGAAATGGTCACATTGGCGTTTTCCACGCTTTTTGCAAAGGTACTGACAAGCATTGGTGAGTGCCTTTCCTCGGAGTGAATTCACTTGCTCATTGACGCATAATTGCTCACGTGATCCAAGCACCAGCATCTTAGGCCTACACATTATTGAGACACAGAAAAGATTAGAACAGGTGACTGATGCTAAAGAGGGGGCACGCACAGAAAGTGGTAATGACCTGTAGCTACATCTTTTCAGTTCTTTAATCACTTGGCGGAGCTGACTATGAGTCCGAGACGCATAAACTATGGTAGGAAAACCTGCTCCTCCTCCTCCTCCGGGTTGCGACATTTGCTCGTCTGAATCTGTCCAAGGAAACTCACTCTTCTTCCGATCCTTAAGGGTAGAGAAACTGCCCAGACTCTTTCTCCAGGCTAAGGTGGCACATAGAAGACACAGCGTTTTCCCAGTTCCCGTAGGACTCTCCAAAAGTGCGTGACATTTCTGCAGCATCGTTTAGACACAGACACTATTAGCGGAAGAGACAAAACGCAATTATCATCACTAATGAATCAATACAAAGCACAGAACGCGGAACTCAAGCCAACAAGTGCGAGTCGAGAAATCAAATATAAAAGAGAATATACAATCAGAAAGAGTTCCTACGTTTTGCAGAGACTCGATTACTCGGTCCATGTAAGTGATCTGAGAAGGGTAGGCCTCGAATGGGAAGTCAACATCGATTCCTCTGATTCTGTAAATCGGCATCTTCTTCCCGCTGGAGAACCCTGCTCGGATTCCGGAGAGCACAGCGGCAACGGAGCTTATTAGAGAAGACGAAAATGAATGCCAAAACTATCCCCGGAAAAGGAGAAGACGCCGCTCTTCTGATTTTCCCGCCTTTTAGGGCATTTTCCTTCCGCTGGCCCTTTTGAAACAACCATAAAGCCCATTCTCTAACCCATTAATTTCACAAAGAGGCCCATAACCTTACCTTCTGGTCTTGTGTATTTTATGTAATTAGAAGTTTAGAACAGTGCAGGGAGTCCCTCCCAATTTCTCCGATTAGTAGTTTGTTTTGTTGTGTATCAGAGTTAGGTTCGAGTTGCGTTTTTTCTCCGTAAAAAAAGAGTGAAGCAAAAAGAAATAGACAAAAGAAAAGAGTGTCAAAACTGTATGTGACAAAGAGACTATGAAACTCGGCAAAGTCTATCTGATGATATCACTGCGTCTAGTAGCTGCTTTGCCGAGTTCCGTCAAGATTTGAAGATAAAAAAAACTAATGTATTTGGATCAATGTAAAACTATCGTCTTTCTGTTTCTTCACTCTTCCTCCGATCCCGACTCTTCAGAACTCGACTCTTGCTTCTTCACTGTCCCATTGGCCTTCTTCGACCCTCTCTTCTCATCCATATCTTTCTTGTCATCCTCATCTTCGCTGTACTCGCTCTCATAATCATCGTATTCCTCCTCTTCAATCTCGTCTTCCTCCTCCATACCTTCCTCTGCAATCGCACCCTCGTCTGAAACCAATCCACGTGTCCCAGCCCGGGTTCTTTTCAGGACTTTGACTTTCAGTGATGTCTTTTTGTCACACCCGATCCATGAGTCGCACAGGCAGAAGCAAGTCAAGTTGTATGTACCCTCCGAGGGTGCTTGGAGTTTACCCATCACCAGTCTTGACCCACCTTTGACCTTCTCAACGGCTTCTCTCACTGCCTCGTTTGTTTCCCTCACCCCTGCTCCCGAACCTTCCATCGTCTCACTGATGGTTTTCGATGCAGCCGTTATCGCTCCACCTTCGTCCATGAAGCTAACCTTCTGAGAGAACCACACGTTGTTCGACACTGAATCCGCTAGGAGAACCCAATAGTTCTCCTCCTTGTGGAAGGGGAAGTAGGGTGCGTGAGGAAGAGCGCCTATGAGCCCATTGGGTCGTTTCAGGGTCACCCAAGCTTGAAGGGTCACGATGTCTCCCTCTTGTATACCCTCTTCTCCTTCTGTTTCACATGTTATGTCGACTGTCAGAGACGGCATCATCTCTAGTACCTTCTCAATGTCCTCAACGTCAGTTGCTGACAAACCCGCTACCTGGCTCAGCAGCTCAGAACGGCCTTCTAAGCTCATTTCTTGAAGCTCCTGGAATGATTTAACCTTCTGAAAATAGGAGAAACAATGCCACGCTTAGCAAGACGAAAAATTACGGTGAACGATCTAAAATGGTCGCTTGTATGTTTCCTTCCAATATACATTTAACGAAAACCAACTAAACTGACACTGTTACTTATTGGAGAGCAGAATCCTGGAAGATATTCTCAAGAAATTTGAGCCAAAAAAGCACATGATATGTCATTGCAAGTAACTAAAAATATTACTGCACTTGACACATTTGATAGTATTAACGTACCTTCCGCGCTATCTTTTTTACGACAGCATCACTGAAATGAGGGAGCTGCAAGAAAGGTGAAATTCCTTCCGACGAGACTCCAGAAGACTTCCTTGCACTCAGGGGAACAGCCTGCAATTCTGAAATATTAGTTAATCTTCCTCAATAGCAACCTAAACCCCCACTTCTTAACTTCCTGGAAGAAGTAAATCTTGTGAGGGAAAAGACATACAGAAATGAAAGCTCACACAAGATAAAAATTGGAAGATAGGTGGCGGGAGCAATTTAATACCTGAACAATGCATTGAGATAGCTCAACTACTCCCACGGCAGGTCTCAGCCAACCATGCCCTTGGGCAGTGCGTGGTAGAACCGCCATCTGCAGTAAACAAACAATATTATAATGACCAAAAACAACTCAATACTTACGCGAGCAAGATAATCCAATAAATGATTGGATGAGCTAACTGGTCCCAGAAGGGCATCCCTTATTCCCTTTGTCATGTTAACCTAATTCTCTCTTTTCATGGGGTAGGACTTTCAGGTCGTTGACTTTTAATGGTTATTCTATCAGACAATATGTTATTTAAAAGGAGAATAGACCTTCAATAACTCTTCAAGTAGGCGAGGTGCAAGCTCTAGCACACGCCTGAAATCACCCTGCAGGGCTGGAGACAAGGCTGCTGATTCACGAGTTAACTGGGCCTGTATCAACAGCTCCGTCTGTATACAGAAATGAAAAAAGTTAGTATTTCAGTTAATCAGTATTTAGTGTCACAGTTGCTTAATTTAAAATATCACCTTCACTATAGCAGGATGCTGTTTCCAAAACTTAGCTTGCTCTTGCTTCATGTTCTTAATGTCCAAATTTAGCTCACTCCTGACAGACATAAAGAGTTTCTGCAGAGGTTCATCATCAGTTCTACGAACTGGAATCTCCATGTACTCAGCTGCCTTGGTAAAAACTTCCATAACTTTGCTGAACAATGAAGATTTTCAAACATGTCATACAAACAAACGGAGACACAGCCTATAGATCATGAACCTATAGCATCACAACGAAGTATATGTGTATGAGTGAATATACCTTGGGGCCAAAGAGGGTTTCATTAGATAATAATATGCGGAAAGAGTTTGATGCATAACATAGTTCCCGGTATACTTTGATGACCTCGAGAGATATATAACAGCAATCACAAGGGGCAGGAGAATACAAACACCAACTATCCACAGCAGTAATATGCCACCGGAGGCTCCATCTATGTCTAGGAGAAACTGAGGAAGAGCAATGCCCATTTGAAAACCCTGTATCACATTACAAGATTTTAGTTTCACTAGGCTTTTAAACGAGATGGGAGCCTATGTCGCACAAAAATGCGATAAATCTATACCTGTCTGCCATCTGGATGACCATACTTCTCAAAGTTTTCACGGGATACCGGATCAGTCAAAGCCTGGTATGCTTTAGATATGGATTCCACAAAATATTTATTGGCCTCTGCAGCGTACAAATACACAAGATCAACATACGCACATAGAAGAAAATGTGTTAACAGCTGCAATCATATTGGTTAAAGCATCAACGAGAAGACCAGAAAGCATTTCGACCTGGATCTGGATTTTTATCAGGATGGTATTGAATCGACAGCCTTCTATATGCTTTCTTTATTTCTGGATCTGAAACTCCAGGTTCCAATCCAAGTATACTGAATGGGTCAAAGACTTGAGTCTGCGCTATCACCCAATAAAGTAATTAAGCAAGTAGATTTTGTTAGTGCAAGTGTTACATCCACGCTACAAAATTCCCGACCACAGGCAATTAGATCAAGGTAGCATAGTAATCTGGGTTTTAGAAAGCAATTGAGGAAAAGATCACCTCACGGCTCATGTTCTTAGTGTAATAAATCAAGAAAATCATCACGACCCAAAGTAGCACAAGTGTCAAGTTGCTCCATGTAGAGAAGTTAGAGATCTGCAGAGAGAATCTCAACAAGTTTAAGAGAATCTCAATGGAGCTAAAAAAAGAGATTGACCAAGTTAAGTGAAAACTTACCTTTTTAAATAAGGATCTCTTATATTTCCCTGAGCGGTCGCACTCGAGACACTGGCAGTGAATGCTCCTTTGCTTCTTGGAGACAGCACGGCTTAGCTTCACCATGGTGTAAGGCACCAATGGAATTGCCATTATCGTCAAAATAAAGATGGGAAACAAAGCGCTATTCTCTTCTGACGCCGCCATCTGCAGGAAAAGCTCTGTTATAATCTGACATCTAAAGGAATTGAAGGAGACAGAAGCAACGGATCTGAGGGTATGTAACAGTGCGCTGCCACTGAAATTAGGGTTCCTACGTCACAGTGATCAACTCGACGACAGAATTAGATCCCGACTAATCTAGCTAAAGTTTCTACAGTATTACGGGAACAATTAGGTCTATACAATCCTGCAATCTGAGATCGACGCAAACCTTAGAAAAGTGAGAAAAGTAACGTTTACAAACGAAACCACGGCCCACGGGGAAGGAAGCAAGAGCAATTATTGGTGTACTAAGATCAGAAACCGAGGAAGCCTACCGGAGAGAAAATCGAAGAAGCTTACCAGAGAGAAAATTGAAGAAGCTTACCTTGAAGGATCAAATCGGCAGGAGGAGGGAGCTTTGGGGAGAGATCGCGCTGCGGATCGGGGGAAGAGCACCACACGGCGTTGCAGTTTTTTTCCTGCTCTTCTGATTGGTGAACTCTTGCGAGCTTTTGAGTTTTACCTTCTCAATTAAAATCCACTTTATTTTTTTCCAACCGGTGGGGTACTACTATATATGTACAGAATTACATTACTTTAGTTTATATACTATTCTCTTTATTTTATTTCGCAAGCAAATTTTTTTTGTTTCGTTTGATAATTTTAATTTGGTTGGGTTTTTTACATAATTTATACATACTAACTAAGTTAACTGTAATTTCTTTACAGATTCAGCATGAACCCACCTGTAAAAATAACACATAGATTAGTTGTACAAAAGAGTAGTAAATGGAATGATAAAAGTTTCCACTTTCAGAAAACGTTGGGTTTGAGATAAAAACGTGAGTAAAATAAAGGAAGGCTAAAAATCACAAAATATAAAGGAAAAGAAAGAGACGAACCCTGTGGTGTCTGCTCCTTAATAAACCCCTTCTCTTGCCTGCGTTCTATCAACCTCATTTTCCGCTGCGACCCAGATTTGGGTAGAAGCTTCCAGAAACAAACCCTCTCGCGATCCAGGTTTGATTCCGACGCACTCTTCTTCACTCCCCTTATATAACTACTGTATGTGCTGATCTTGTAGATCTGAAGCTCCTCTTTTTCCGTAGATGTGATTTAAATGTTTTTGGTGTATTTGTGTGAGTGGCTTCCCTACTTGTTTTGAATTTGACTCTGTTTTGTTTTGAATTTGGATCTGTCTTCGTTTGTATTCTGAATCCCCCCGTATATATTTGTTTGTTGGTTGATCAGAAAAGCAAAGCGTGAAAATGAGTGTGGTTGGGTTTGATTTTGGAAACGAGAATTGCCTTGTCGCAGTTGCAAGGCAAAGAGGTATCGACGTTGTGCTTAATGACGAGTCGAACCGCGAGACTCCGGCTATTGTATGCTTTGGCGAGAAGCAGCGCTTCATCGGCACTGCTGGTGCTGCTTCCACCATGATGAACCCCAAAAACTCCATATCCCAAATCAAGCGTCTGGTTGGTCGCCAGTTCTCCGACCCTGAGCTGCAAAGGGACATCAAATCTCTGCCCTTCTCTGTCACGGAAGGCCCCGATGGCTACCCTTTGATCCATGCTAGGTATTTGGGAGAGATGAGAGCCTTTACCCCCACTCAGCTCATGGGAATGATGCTCTCCAATCTGAAAGGTATTGCCGAGAAGAATATGAATGCTGCTGTGGTCGACTGCTGTATTGGTATCCCTGTTTACTTTACCGACCTCCAGCGAAGGGCTGTTCTCGATGCTGCCACCATTGCAGGCTTGCATCCCCTGCGCTTGATCCACGAGACTACTGCAACCGCTCTCGCTTATGGTATTTACAAGACTGATTTGCCAGAGAATGAACATCTCAATGTCGCATTCATTGACATTGGGCATGCAAGCATGCAGGTCTGCATTGCAGCCTTCAAAAAAGGACAGCTCAAAATCTTGTCTCATGCCTTTGATCGCTCCCTAGGGGGAAGGGACTTCGACGAAGCTCTTTTCCACCATTTTGCTGCTAAGTTTAAGGAGGAGTACAAGATTGATGTCTCCCAGAATGCTAAGGCTTGTCTCAGGCTCCGGGCTGCGTGCGAGAAGCTGAAAAAGGTTCTAAGCGCAAATCCTGTGGCACCATTGAATATCGAGTGTTTGATGGATGAGAAAGACGTTAGGGGTGTCATAAAGAGGGACGAGTTTGAAGAGATCAGCATCCCGATTCTGGAGCGCGTTAAGAGGCCTCTAGAGAAAGCTCTCTCTGATGCGGGCCTCACAGTTGAAGACGTACATATGGTCGAGGTTGTTGGCTCTGGCTCTCGTGTCCCCGCTATGATCAAGATCCTAACTGAGTTTTTTGGCAAGGAGCCCAGGCGTACAATGAATGCAAGTGAATGTGTGTCGAGGGGATGTGCCTTGCAGTGTGCCATTCTCAGTCCGACCTTTAAAGTTCGCGAATTCCAGGTGATGGGTGCATATCTATGCTTAAGCAAGTGTGGTTTTCGTCTTCTTTGAAGCAGCCCAAGAACTGCTCTACTCCAGGTTTTCTAACAAGTTATATTATGTATTTCTCTCTCTTAAAGGTTCATGAGAGCTTCCCTTTCTCAATTTCGCTGGCGTGGAAAGGAGCAGCTTCCGATTCTCAAAACGGAGGGGCTGAGAATCAGCAGAGCACCATTGTTTTTCCCAAAGGAAATCCCATTCCCAGTGTCAAGGCTCTAACGTTTTATCGTTCTGGAACGTTCTCTGTTGATGTGCAGTACGGTGATGTGACCGAGTTGCAAGCACCTCCTAAAATCAGCACATACACGGTTTGATCTTTCTCCAGTCTCATGACTACTTATGACTGCAGCGCTCTTGTTTCTCATCGTTGATCTCCTTTTTGTAGATTGGTCCCTTCCAGTCATCAAAAGGCGAGAGAGCAAAGCTTAAAGTGAAAGTGAGATTGAACCTGCATGGAATTGTCTCAGTTGAATCGGCAACTGTGAGTTTCTGTTGCTATATTATAACTATTATATGATCATCCAATGCAATTGGTTCTTTAGGTGAATTATTTACGGGCTCATTCTCTCTAATAACTGATTATATATTGATCATTCGGAGCCGTGCCTTCCCTTACGAACTTGTAAATCCTCTAATCTGTGCTAATTTTTCTCTCCCGTCGTTGCAGCTTTTGGAAGAGGAAGAAGTTGAAGTTCCAGTCTCGAAAGAACAACCGGAAGGAACTACGAAGATGGGCAGTGACAAGGCTTCGCCTGCTGGTGACTCTGATGTTAACATGCAAGACGCCAAGGAAACCAGTGATGCAGCTGGTGCTGACAATGGTGTTCCTGCGTCTGCTGATAAGCCGGTGCAAATGGAAACTGATGCAAAGGCTAGAATCTCCACTGAATTGATTGTGCTTGCTATATGCATTTGCTTGTGAGCTTTAATTTTGTTAATGGGGTGCGCAGGCTGAGGCTCCGAAGAAGAAGGTGAAGAAAACAAATGTACCTCTGTCGGAATTGGTCTACGGTGCCTTGCAATCTGTGGAGGTCCAAAAGGCTGTGGAGAAAGAATTTGAGATGGCTTTGCAAGACAGAGTTATGGAGGAGACAAAGGACCGGAAGAATGCTGTTGAGTCCTATGTATACGATATGCGAAACAAAGTGAGAATTCTTTTTTTGGTTGCTGTGTGTGTTTTTTTTTTTATTGCATTGGGAGTTGACAGTTATAAGATTCAGAGTATTTGGCGCTGACATGTTTTGTTTTCAGCTGAGTGACAAATACCAGGAGTATATCACTGAACCAGAGAGGGAAGCATTCCTGGCGAGACTGCAGGAAGTGGAGGATTGGTTGTATGAAGACGGGGAAGATGAGACTAAAGGTGTTTATGTTGCAAAGCTCGAGGAGCTCAAGAAGGTACTACACATGATGGCACTTTATTGTGTTCGGAGAAAACTATTTTGATATATGTTGTTTTAACAGAGCTTGGTGACCGATCGTTTGTAGGTGGGTGACCCTGTTGAAGAGCGTTACAAGGAGTCAGTGGAGAGAGGGTCGGTGATTGATCAGCTTAGTTACTGTATTAACAGCTACAGAGAGGCAGCTGTGTCTAATGATCCCAAGTTTGACCACATTGAATTGACAGAGAAGCAGAAGGTAATAATCGAGAGCAGAACAAATGCTAAGATTCTCGTGAGAAGAAATTGTTGATGTGTGTTTGTTCCTGTTGTGCAATAATGAAGGTTTTGAACGAGTGTGTGGAAGCAGAAGCATGGCTGCGGGAGAAGAAGCAGCAGCAGGACACACTTCCCAAGTACGCCACACCGGCTCTCTTGTCAGCTGACGTTACAAGCAAGGCGGATGCATTGGACAAGTAAGCAAAGCTTGACATTTTGTTTCTCCCAGGACAAATGCTAGTATATAACATAATAGTGACTGAACCAGCTTTGGATGTTTGATAGGTTTTGCAGGCCTGTAATGACCAAACCAAAGCCGGCGGCTAAAGCAGAGGCACCAGAAGCCAAGGGAGATGAGCCTGCGGATGAGGGCAAGAGCGAGCCACAGCCACCATCCTCCGCCGAACCAATGGAGACAGACAATCCCTCCCAAGGTAGTGCCTAAAATAAACCACAAGAGAGAGAGAGAGAGGTGTATCGATTTTGTTTTTTACCTTTTTAGTTACCTAGTGGAACCTCTTTTTATGGTTCCGCTATTATTTTCCGAAATATTCTACATTTCATTCGATAACAATTTTTAGGAAGTATCTTTTTTATTGTTCCTTGTGGTGGTTTCTTATTAATTTGAAAATCTTGTTTTGTTACATCTTTCATAATCCTAGATTGGAGTGTTAATGTACGTATTTGATCTCCCAAAGCTCAACATCTTCTCCTCTATCATAACCCTTGGTATATTGAGGGATCTGTGTTACGTCGATGCGCTTGCCCACAAAACTCTTGTCCTTTCGCTCGCCTGTTCCATACACACCACTTTTTGTTATCAAACATGTTTTAACTTTTTAACACTGGAAGCACAGAGGGCACATCTTACAGAGTCCATCTTCTTGGATGTAGCTTCTGAAGCAGGCGTAGCCATTGGCAACAACGTCGAGATCATCCATGCTGAAGTTGTATCGTTTCTCCAAACCCAAATATAGCACCTGCCAGTTCACATATGTATCTTTCTCCCTCTCTCTCTCTATATACATGTGATTGCTTTAAGTGAAGAAGCTAAAGGCCATCTAACTATTACCTTGTCACAACCGAATGACATCACTCTCTTTAACATGGCAAACAACGCTATGGTTAGATCATCGCTGTAGATCACGTCCGCCGCAAAAATGAAGCTTGCATTTTTTACTTGTTCAAAGTCCTGCGAGCTCCAACAATACCTGAACATGATCCAGGAGGCGCAGGTATGTGAAGGGACCACAAGTAATGATATATATATCAAATAAAGAGCAAGAACATGATTCCATTACTTTTCTGGAACTCTGCAGCCACCATGGGTGTCGTCAATAGGCCATTTGCTGGTCCAGTCGAGCTCGCGAACGTTTACCACAGCTTGAGGGTTAAACAAGGATGAATTCATTTCCACGTTCCGAACACAGTTGCCAAGAATTTCGTCTCCGTGATCTGTTGTAGGAAGAGAATAAAACAGAGAAGCCTCAGACTAGCTACAGTTTGGAAAAAAGACCAAGACGAATAATGTGAAGAGAGATCAGTGATGAAAAAGATGCACCAGTAAGGAAAACAGCCTTGGCCACTTGTGCAAGCAGTAGACTGAGCAGCCCTGGAAAAGGAGAGAAGAAAGTAAGATAAGACATCTGCACTCGATTGCGTCAAGGGGCTTAATCTCATGGGAAAGTAAAAACCTGTTCCAGCACCGAGTTCCAGACACACGATGCCATTGAGGAGGGATGATGTACACATCTTATGCAACACAAAATCTGATAAGACCAGTTCCGCTTTCCACACCTGAAGAGGCAGCGCCTGTAGTCATGAATAATTGCACAGGAAAAGAAGCTAAGAGATGAACTTACCTGCAGCCCAACATCACGGAGCGTTGATGTGATACAATGCTGAATGGTGATAGTAAACGAGTGAGCGGATCGACCTGTTCACCAACACTAAGTTAAACCATTCAAAGGAAGACATTATCCAGAGGTTTCTACTTTGCTCTTACTAGTTCGTCTGGGGAGAAGAAGATCGCCATCTTTATCTACACTAATACAATGATGACTCGAGCTCGCAGCGGGTGGAAAAGAGAAGGTGAATCGGGAAAGAAAGGGCCCGTTGGTGGCGGGTGGGCACCCGAGATGAACCTCGCTCATGACATGAATCTCTGACTCCTCCATTTCCTCCGAGGTTAGGGTTATTCTTCTTGTGAGGAAGGGGAAGAATGGTGATTGATAAGTCGTCGATTCTAGGGATTTTAGAACGGGATCCATATTTAAGAGGTAAAAAAAGCTAAGCTTTTGTATCAATTTAGGATTAAAGTGTGTAGGGTTTACAGAGAATAGTGGTATTCATTCACAGACGACAAATTCAATTTCAGATATGCTAAATCACAATCCCGTCACTATTAACTGAAGAAGAAGAAGAGGATCAATTTCGCGTGAGAGCATCAACGCGAGCGGCGACCTCATCAAAGTCAGGGACGTTGGAGGCCCGAGGCTGCCACGACGCTGTTCGACGACTCATCCTCCTAATCCCCTCTCCGCCTGATTTCTCCATCGACTCCGTTCTCATGGTCTTGTTAGTTTGTTTCGGCGCAGCATCAGCATCAGGATCAGGGGGAGGGTTGGCCAATCGTCGTCTCACTGATCTCGGCTTTGGTCTTCCCGCAGTGGGCGAATCTGTTTGAGAGCATATATCATCAGGGCTTGCTTGCATATTCTGTAGGAAACTGGGTTTTTCATACTCACCGGCGTCGTCGGCCATGATATCAGATTTGGTCATCTTCTCCGGGAGGCTCTCCTGTTTCTCGATTCTGGGTTGGTTGCTGTAAGGCGCAGGGATGAACCTGTAGTAGAAAGGTTTGGCTTCGGGGTCTTCCTCCGGGCCAGAGACACAGCTCTCGCTTGTACTCATGGAGTCGTCTTCGCTTCTTCTGCTCATGGACTTGTTGTTACTGTCATCATCCCAAGACTCTTTTCTACCATGAAACGAAAGGCTGCTTCTGTTTGCGGTGGCACTGTCTTGGTTTGTTGATTTGGGATTTGGATGATGATGATGAGGTGTGTAGAGCCTCTCCTGTAGAGACTTGGCATCCCATTTGATGGAGTATTCTCTGGCGATTTCCTGCAGCAGCTCTACCTTCATTTCCTTTGACGGTGGCTCCGCTTTGAATCCCTCTACAAACTGCTTTCCGATGCTTTCAGCAACATATTGTTAGAGAGTAGAGAGAGTGAGTAGAATGTTTGTATCAAAGATTACCTCAGGATTCACAAAATGCTCAAGTGAGTTCCCGTATCTGTCAGCGAATAATGACCTGAGATCACGAAGCTCCGGCACTTCAGAGACTCTGGCCGCCGCATATACAAGGGAGGAGATGGCCTCTCGACACTCGTCAGGGCACTTACTGCACAAAGACCAATACTTTACATGGATAAAGCAAAGAAAGTGAAGGCAATGCGCGAGGGGGAGGGTGTTTTGACCTGGATTTTTGTAAGAGAGAGACATTGGATGCAACACAGATGCAGAATTGCTCCAACAAGTCGTAACAGGACAGCCTCCTCTTCTCCTCAATGAGCCCTTCTGCCTGTCACAGTTGAGGTCAAACCATCTTTATTTATTCATGTGACAAACTTTAAATGTAAACAAACATTTATTGCCCACGAGAAAAGAAAAGCGAGCAGATGGTTTCTTCTGCAACAATTCACCCTGTTAACCAGCTGGTGACAGCATCGATATGAAATACATTTGTTTTTTTGCCATTGCATCCACATATGTATTACCAAAATAGAACCAATAACGATTTTACGAAAACATAGTTGACCCCTTTTCTTTTTTCCTCTTAAGAAGATATGTTCGCTGCTTTCACGTTGGGTGAACCAATCAGATCACCGAGACCCATTAAACGACACAGGGCATGGATTACGGATTTTAATTATGAATTCAGAATTACTTTGTTGATTGATCGCGACATAACTATCGAATGGTGTAAATACAAATTACCCTGCCATATGCATTGTAATCGAGGCTGTTTTTGAGAAGATCGACAATGTCGTTCTTCAAATATTTGCACACAGAGTTTTTCTTTCTCTTCACCGTCTCTACTCTTGTTTTCGTTATCTTCACCAACGACTTGCTGAGGAAATTGCAAATGATGAATGCCATTAACAATACAATACAAAACCAAAAAAATAAAGTAAGCGAGATGAACGAAACCAAGAAAAGAAAAGACTCACCATTTTGTATAAAATTTGGGTTTAAACAGGCCATCAAACATTTTGCCTTTTGAAAATTAACAGAGATGGGATTCTTGTTTTTTTTTATTTTGTTTTTGTTATCTCTCTCTTTCGTGCAAGAGAAAGAGAGAGATAGAGAGAAGAAATGTCGTCCTTTTGGGAAAGATGGTGTTTTTAAGGAAGGCTTTATAAATAAACAGGAAAAAAACAAAGAGAGAGGAGAGAGGAAATGATAAGAAGGAAAAAGAAACGACCTTCTTGGCTTGGTCTACATGAGATCTCAAGAAACGGACTTGTTTCGCAAAAAAACCAAGCAACCAGTGTCTCCGCCTTTATCGACCTCTCTCTCTCTCTCTCTATATATATATATATAAATATATGCGTGTGTCTGTGTATAGGCCAACAGAGAGAGGAGTAAACAAAAAAAAATGATCTTGTAAAAGGGGCAAATTAGCGCGCGCTTTGTGGGAGCTGTAATTACTAAAACAGGGTGGAATTTAACACTCTTTAACTCACCTCCTCGTTATTTTTTTTCTAAGGTAACACTGTTGTGTGACGTCTCTAACTATATCATCTAGTGAGTAATCATCATCACTAACAATAATGATGGTATTAATTACATAGCCATCTCTTTTCTTGATCCACAAGAAACAGAAAACCGTAATCTCTTTTTGGATAAACATTCAATTGGAGATTATAGGGATTGGGCCCATAATATAGCAAAGCCCATTTGTTGGCATCAAGGTCGTAGGATCAAAGCTTGGGCCTTGGGTGATTCATCTCCCTCAAAAGAAATTAGTAATTTGGTATTCAGGAGGAAAGGAAGCACCCAAAAGCTGATAAGAAAGATTACGATGAGGTAATTCAACTTTCTGGAGATTTGGATCTTCAACTGACAGAAAGTTTGCATCGTGGTTCAACTTGTTTATTGTTCTCAAAAATTCAAAGTAGGAACCCCTTGTCTTGTTGATGAGGATGTTTCAGAGAGTTGTTTTTAGACATAAGACATTATGTCAAAATCGGATAGAAAGATATGACAACAACTGATGCAGCAGTCGATAGATTGTATCTGATATGTTGATTTGGCGTGAATGCAGCATGAACTGGCCAACAAGAAAGATGAGGAGAACTTCTCAGAAGGTGAGTTTCCCACACTTGTGCTTTTTAGCTTGTTTCTACTTAAAGAATTGCGTATGAGTAATTCAAAGGAACCAAAGAGAGGGAAGGAGTAAGTATGCATCATCATATGAGATTATGCATGGTAGCTTCGTATGAAGGTGTATTGAGTGGGATAAAAGCAGGCCCTTAAAGACCAAATGCATCACAGAAAGGATCATTTGGAGGAAGTGGGCTCAAGAAAAGTGAGATCCCCCTCAATTTTGGCAGAGTTAAGAATCTTTGATTCTTTGTATCTTTTTTTTAGGGAAAAAAAGAACAATAAGTTTGTCATCTGTGAGGAGAAGTAACATGACGTCTCTCTCTCTTTTCAACTTTCGCTTTCTTGTGCCTTTATAGATAGATATATAAAAGGATGTTTGTCTACTCCACGTTTCTTCTTTACCTTCACTTTGTTCATATATTTAATTCTCAATTTCACTAATTTAGTTAATTGCAATCATGATTATTAGGTGTCCAGCTTATCGACACTAGTCAAAGATGAGAAAGAGTATATTCCTCTCATTTCTTATTTTGGTTATATTAATTGAACGTGAAAATAGGCTTTAGAAAGAAAACAGAGGAAACGAGTTTTGGCAAGAGATGTATAGGTGGCGGGAGTGGGTTGGGCGAGATGGTATGAAAAGGACGGTGGCTCAATCTCAAATCATTTTAGAGATTCTCTTTCCGGCGAAGTGCAGAGATCCTTTTTTTCTCTGATTTATTAGTCGTTTCACGTATCTTATCAAAGAAAGGACAAAATCTCAATCCGCTTTTTACCCGCAAGGTTGCAGAGTACATCATAATCCCTTTTTACAAAGAGAAGCTACCAAACCAAAGAAAAGATGGATTTCTGGCCCGAGTTTATGGCGAGCAGCTGGGGAAGGGAGTTCGTGGCCGGTGGGTTCGGAGGCGTGGCCGGGATCATCTCCGGGTATCCCTTGGACACGCTTAGAATTCGGCAGCAGCAGAGCTCGAAATCGGGATCTGCCTTCACCATTCTCCGGCGGATGCTCGCCGTTGAGGGCCCCACGTCGCTCTACAGAGGCATGGCAGCACCCTTGGCCTCCGTCACATTTCAGGTGGTAGATTCACCTCCCTTTTTCCATCGCAGCATCTCTCATGAATATTCATTCATTCATACATAGCCTATGGGCATGGCATATATATTCTCCTTCTCACATGTGTATTCCTGTGCAGAATGCTATGGTGTTCCAGATATATGCGATACTCTCTCGCTCCTTTGATTCCTCTCTTTCTCTGGAAGATCCTCCTTCCTACAGAGGCGTTGCTCTTGGCGGGGTTGGCACCGGCGCTGTGCAGAGCCTCCTGCTTAGCCCCGTGGAGCTCATCAAGATCCGTCTCCAGCTGCAGCAGCAGAGCAGCAAGAGTGGTCCCATCAGCTTGGCTAAGAGCATCCTCAGGAGAGAAGGCCTTAAGGGGTTATACAGAGGCCTCACCATCACAGTGCTCCGAGATGCTCCCGCTCACGGCCTCTACTTCTGGACCTACGAGTACGTACGAGAAAGGCTCCATCCCGGCTGCAGAAAGAGCGGCCATGAAACCCTCAGGACCATGCTGGTGGCTGGTGGCCTGGCTGGTGTGGCCAGCTGGGTCGCTTGCTATCCTCTTGATGTCCTCAAGACCAGGCTGCAGCAAGGCCACGGTGCTTACGAGGGCATTGCGGATTGCTTTCACAAGAGCCTCACTCACGAAGGCTATGGGGTTCTCTGGCGTGGCCTCGGCACTGCAGTTTCCAGGGCCTTTGTCGTCAACGGTGCTATTTTTGCTGCTTATGAGCTTGCCTTGAGGTGTTTATTCACTCAGTTGCCTGCAGAGTGAGTAAAAGCCCAACAAGACTCGTAAGTTGCAGCTTGAAGATTCGTTAAGCCTGATTATAGTTAGCACACGATCATAGTTTCAGTTGGATTTGGATTGCATGGTCAAACAAACCTGACTCGCTTTATGAAACCCATCTGCGACAAATTGTTGGAAAACAAGACAAAGAAAACAGATGAAATGAATTTTGTTGTTTCTCTTTACAATTGTTTGCTCAATGATACTCAGAATAAAGAGTGCCAAGGATTTCCTCTGGCTGATTGGTTTAGGATGAAGTTTTATGTTTAAAGAATTGGTGCAGCAGTCTGTGAACGTCTCCGTAGCCTTTGGTGGAATAAATAAGACTATCTTTGATCCACTTTGGGAGCTTGCTGGATGGATGAGGATGAGATGTTCTTTTGGAAGGATCATTGGAGTATCGAGCATCTACCAGTAAAATGGCTGCATAATCCTTTACGTGCCTGATTGCTCTACCTGATTATAACCAAAAAAATTGCACATTGTTGTCTCTGTCGTCCATTCATCAATAATAACACAATTCTGTATGTATTTGGAACTCACCGATTGATTGGTTCACTGCTTTCATACACAGATTCTCATAGTACTCTTTCCCTCTCCGTTTGCAGCTCCTTAGTACCCCAAACCCTTCTTCAACATCTCCACTATAGTAAGAATCGTCAACCAAAGCCAGGCAACCTGAATCCCCAAGACCTTCTATATGCTTTATCCTCTCTAACAGCTCAATGTCAGATGGGCTGGGATATGGCAGACCAACCATCACAACACACCGACACATGCCGTCGCTGAAGTTGATTCCTTCTGACACCTTCCCACCAACCACAGCTAGCATTATTGCCCCTCTTTCGCTTTCTATTGCTTCCTTGTACTCTCTGAGAACAGCTTCTACTTCAGTGTTTCTTCTCGGTTCTCTAAACACACGCTTCTTCTTCATTATTCTTCCGAGTATCCCTGAGCTACTCCACGCTGTGTGCACCTGTGTTTCATACTCAAAGGAGGAGAAGAAGACGACCACTCCTTCCGGAACCACTGCCACCAGGTTACTCATTAACAGTCCCAACTCCTGTATCTGCCAAAAACAGAAGTTACTCTCAATACTCTCTTTCCTCATCTAATAATTAAGGCGTCTACAGAAATAAAACAAGTTAGTAAACGGTAGCTGTTTGGATCACCCACCATTTCTTTCGAGCTTCTTGAACGGTGGCTAAAGTCAAAAGACTGACCAGACGGACCATGTGAAACTGCGATTGGCATTATACTCTCAGGGGGAACAATGTGACTACATGAGAAGAACTGTAGCTGATTTGATGGTAGCCATGGAAAGAGTCGTTCTCTTGTCTCTTCTATGGGTTGAAGAGTCCCACCGGCCAATATGACAGCATGAGCTTCATCCACCACCTCCGAAAATAACTTGGCTCCAGTGAGCATGACATATTTAATGTACCCTTCTTGTTGGCCAGAGGTAGAGTCCGTCCTCATCTTTGAGATTATTATCCGCCCATCACCGTTGTTATGAGTGAGTGCCACCAAAATATCAGTAAACGCTCTAAAACTCGTTAACTTGCTCATTTCCTCATGGGTCACTGGATCTTTCTGCAACATAGCAACTCTCTCCCCATATCCGCTGACCTGGACAAACAGTTGAAAATTGAAGGTGAGAAAAGGGAAACGTACAGGAGAAAAGAGTCGGACAAGCCAAAGGTTGTAAATATTATGAACCACTTCACCTTATGAATGATATTGCTTTCCTTTATATAGGCGAGTAACTTGACCAGATTGATATTGTCTATATTCAGAGAGAATAAAAAGTCATATATAGCCATCGAGCAACCACCAGAAGGCTTGCTTTTAGAGGGATTCCCAGTATCAAGCCTATCATTTACGCTCCTGTCACTGGCCAGAGGTTTGAGGAGAGCTTGGATGAGAATCAACAGAGTTTGGATATATCTACGGTTTCCAGCCCCCAAGAGATTCAGGAATCTTCCCAGATAATTCTCTATGCTGCTACGTACATCCTCCAACTGCAATACAAATCGATTAAAAAACCTGTGTTGTCAGCTATCATAAGAATTCCGTGTACTGTAGTATCCGCAAAGTAGCCACGACAAAATCCTAAGCATACAGCAAGTTGCGTATGACCAGACACAGAGGACTGAGTAGCAACGCGAAAGTCCATACAAACCACAATGTTACTTGTTTTACCTGTGACACAGTAACTTTTGCGTCGTGCATACTGAGAAGAGTGTCCGCCAAATTGTGAGCCTCGTCTATGATGACAACATTGTTTTTCAAGCTTAGGCCGAGACTTTCTCGGGACGACTTTGAAAGAAGGGACTGGTATGGAAGAATAACAAGATCAGCTGCCGGGGCCATTCTTCTAGAACCATAGTATGGACAAGTCCCCATTTCTCGTCCAAGCTGAACAAGATCCTCAATGTCCATGGCTTCTTGTTGAGAAACCTCAGCCTTGAATTCTCTCTGTAGAGTATGTTTTCTAAGCATTGGGCATCTGCAAGATGCTTTGGTTCGTCCTACCCTTACATTTGTACCTAAATTCTGAAATGCTCAAGCCTACTTCAGTAAATGAAACTCAGAAAGAGCACGCTTTTATAGATACATGTACATCAACCAAGTTGAGAACGTGCACCTTCTTTTTAGAGACTTGAGATTTCCTCTTCTTTTGCAGATCCAAGCACCTCTCGTTGATTCGGGCCACATTGCCAAGCTTAAGAACATCTGTACATGATGATGAGCTCAGTAACCATAAGTATCAGGCAAACAAGATGAAAAACAAGGAAGGAGAAATGCAGGGGACACCTTCATTTATGCACATGTTCTTTCGCGAGCCTAGGCATACAACTTTGATTTTCTGGGCAAACACAGTCTTCCTCAACTCCTTGACAAATTGCGAAAGCTGCGAGTGTGTTCGGCTGCAAAAGAAAACCTTGAGCCCGTCTTCGTCATCCGAGCACTCCTTGCCATCTTCCTCCTCCTCCGATGAGCTCTCAAAACCGCCTGAGGGTTTTCTCTTTGAAGATGAAGAATCCTCTTCGCTTTCGTAATTGTCCAGCAAAAACTCGTCATCGTTTAACTCAGCTTCGTGTTTCCTTAGAGAAACCTCCACTTGCGAGAAAACTCGGGGAACTCTTTCCTTGGGCCGGAATGGGGGTTTGCTGATTTTGATGGTCTTGTCATCGTTGAAGCTAAAATCTCTCATCCAATCGGGCTCGTCGTAGGAGAATCCCTCACAATCGACCTTCTCGGATTCCGTCACTCCTGCTTTTGCTTTCTCCTTACGGTCAATCAGCCACTGTAGAGCACTGCAGATGATGCTTAGAGATTTTCCCGTCCCTGAAATCACATACATTCACACAATCAAAAACCACTACACTGTAGTTAACTGATGAAAAACCGAAGCGTACCAGTGGGGCTTTCGAGCATGGAAACGCCTCCCTTGTCCAGAAACTGATAGAGCGCGTTCATGAAATCGATTTGGATCGGGTACGGCTTGTACGGAAACGCCGAGAACTCTTGTTTTTCCGTCATCTCGATACGACGCAGTGGAGGAAACTCCCCTTCCAATTTGCCGCCGATTTCTAAGAAGATGAGGCTGTTTGGATGCGGGGCTAAGAACATTCTTTTTTAGGCAGGCCCATATCAGTTTATCTTGCAGAAATCTTGGAAACAAGAGTTTAAGCCCATTTTCAGATGGGCCTATTCGAGTTAGACCTCACTATCAAATACAAATGGGCCTATTCAAGTTGCACCTCACCACCAAATAAAAAAGTCCAACCCTTATAAATGTGTCGTCAGTACACAGAAGAAGGACCTTCCTCTCTCAAGTCTCAACTTTCTCTTGCTCTTCCCTCTCGGCTCTTGAATTCCTTGCTATGGCCTCCTTCAACGACGAAACCGCCAACAAGTTGCTTACCCAGGTCTTAATTAATTTCTCTATCTGTTCATCTCTAATTTCCCAGTATTGTTCCTCAACTAGGTTTTTCTATATGATTAAAGGTGGAGTTTTACTTCAGCGACAGTAATTTACCCAGAGACGGATTCCTCAACAAGGAAGTCACCAAGAGCAAAGATGGCCGTATCCTGTATTCTACACTACTGACACAGCTTTTCTACATAATTTGATTTTTGTTCTCTCTCTTTTTTTGGCAAGTTTTTCCTTCATACCCGAAATTAGTGGTTAGTCTGCCTCTGGTTTGTTCCTTCTCTCGTATGAGGAATCTCCTTGGTCTCGGTAATATCAAACGCGAAGACATACCTAAGAATATAGTCGAGAGAGTGGCTAATCTCTTACGGACATCTGCTTTTCTTCGTGTTTCCGACAATGGTACTCTTTGTTTCCCTTGGTTTGTCTTATCTGCCTATGTGCTATTATGAGTTATGATGATGACAGTTTCCTTGTTAATCCCAAAAACCAAGGACAAAGGATCGGTAGAGGAACAAAACTCTCCAAGCCGGAGGAGGTGCTTGAACAAGTCCACAGAAGAACTGTTGCGGCATCGCCTTTTGAGTACAGCATAAAGATGGAGGACGTGGCATCTTTCTTCTCCCGATATGCCAAGGTCCTCTTTCATGTGCCTCTTATCATGTCCAAAGCAGCGTTGTTCATTGCTCGTTTGATTTTGACTTGTTCAGGTGAACAGTGTGAGGCTTCCTCACCACATCGGAGATAAGCGACACTTTTGCGGCACTGCTTTGGTTGAATTCTCGTCTGAACAAGAAACTGAAGATGTTTTGAGGCAGGCCTTGGCCTATGCCGGCGCTGATTTAGTATTAATACCAAAGTAAGTAAGTAAGGACTCATGGTTTGTTCCAAACATGCCATTACCTGACTGTTTCTGTTTGATATACGCAGGAGTGATTTTGACCGTCAAAGAGAGACTAGGATCGAGAAACTCGGAAAACCAGGGCCAATTCTTACAGATTCCTCCCGCAATGAGTCAGTCTGTTGTTTGTTTTTTGTCTGATGAAAACGCTTCTTTATTCAAAAATAAAAAGCAAGTCGGCTCATATGTTTCTGCTCGTGTGTATATATTGCTACAGGTTTGGCAGAGGTCAGATTGTCAAATTTACACTCAAAAGAATAGCCAGTGGAGAAAAAGCAGCAAATAGAGGTACTTTGTGGTTTCTCAAGACTTGATGATCTCTTTAAAATTTGAGCTGCTCTCTAAGTAACTTGTCCGGCTTGCAGAAAAACCCAAGAGTCTGGAAAATGAAACCAGAGGGAAGGAAGATAAGGCAGGCAGTGGTAAGAAAGTGAAAGGAATTGAAAGCGGAGATTTGGTGGCAGATAAATCAGGTGCTGGCTTGTGCACGGAGAGTGGAGAGACGGTACACAACGCTGATCAACCTGTCGTTCCCCCGTGGGACATGAGCGATTCTGTTGGCTCTGAGGTTCTCAAAGATGTTTTTCAAAGATTTGGCAGCGTTAAGGTAACACTTGCAAACTTTTGTCCAACCCTCCTCTGACATCCCCTAAAAAAGTGATTGTTCAGCAATCAATTTTTTGTTTTTCTTTTGCAGCACATAGAACACTCTGGTGGATTGGACTCGGGTTACGTTTGTTTTGTAGATTCAGAAACAGCTACGAAAGCCCGTGCGGCGGTGGAGTTTGTTGGAGGTTTGCTTGTGAAGAATAAATTCTCAGTTGCGGTAGAAGCAGTGAATGGTAAGTTGGCACTTGTCTTTTGTTAATCATGCATAATGGTTTTAACCCTTGGAAATGAGTTGTATATGCCTTCAGGTGAGATGGAGAGAGAGATATGGAAAAGACTATCATCATCAGCTGAGCTGGAAGGAGGGTATGACATTATACCAAACCTTGTCTTTTCATTCAGTCACATGCTGTACTCGTTCCCAATATTCTTTGTTTATGTGCATCAGGAAAGAAGAAGATGACAATAAGGAGGAAAGCAAAGGCAAGTGCCCTGAAACCATGCAACCTCCCAAGAAGGCTCGAAGGGAGGCCTAATACAAAGTTATGTCGTACTCTTGGGTTTGCTCGAGATATTGCACAACATTGTTGTCGCCTAAGAATAGTTTGATAGGCAGTCGTTTTTCGAATGGGATAGTTTTAACATATATTGTCTTAAGCGTCACTTTGTATGCTACTCCAGTCGAATGCTTTGCGAAAAGAGAGTTGAAAGAAGAATGAAACAGAGAGAATTCGCGGAGTGTTTTAAATATATACAATACGACAGTGCGACTTTATTTGCAAGAGAAAAATCGCCTTTCCAGATAATAGGCTTTCAAATCACTTAGACCACCGGAGTGAGAAGTGATTTACCAGAAAAGTGGGCTTCCAAGTTACCGACAACAAGATCGGCCATGGCATTCCGTGTCTCCACGGTGCCACTCCCAACGTGAGGGAGCAGAACCACATTGTCAAGGCCAAAGAGCTCCTCGGGCACGTGTGGCTCCTGCTCAAACACGTCCAGCGCAGCCCCACCTAGCCGGCCTTGGGTCAGAGCTTTCACAAGCTCTTGCTCGTCAACATGCGGCCCACGCCCTATGTTTATCAGCACACCCTTTGCTCCTAATGCATCCATCACTTGCCGGTTCACAATGTGTCTGGTCTCGTCCGTCAATGGGCATGCCACCACGAGGATGTCTGAGTTTTGGGCAAGCTCAACCACCGTTGGATAATACTTGTAGCCTACGTCACGCTTCTCTGTTCTTGAGTAGTAATTGATTGGGCAGCTAAACGCTTCGGCCCTCTTTGCGATCGCAGTCCCGATTCTCCCTAGACCAATGATGCCCACGGATTTCCCACTAAACTGAATCCACAAGAAAGAGAATCTTCAGTTGTACGTTTGAAGATCAAAGAAGATAAGCAGAGCTCATGGTACAAATTCATATACTTATATTGAAACAACACAAAAACAAATTCAATTTTCAAAGACAGGCGAAACTTTCTCATTGATCAAACAAGCTCTTGTGTCTGCTATGCCCAAACAACAAAGTAGAACAAATCTGAATAGATAAAGAAAGTGTAGTAAGACCTCACGAGCATCACTGAGTTTATCCAATCAGAAGGAATACGATGATTGACTTTCAGTATATAAATCCGATGGCGTGGATACATAAACAGAGTATGACAAAGAGTCGGAAGAAACCTTAGTAGTGAGTTGGAAATCACCGGTCTTCCATTTTCCGCTCCTCACATAGCGATCACACTCACACAAGCGTCGGAGGAGAGCCAGGATAAGCCCAATCGCGAGATCTGCGACATCTTCGGTGAGAACGTCGGGAGTGTTGGTGACTCGGATCCCTTTTTCCTTGCATTTCCCCAAATCGATCTTGTCGAGGCCGACGCTGAAGCTCGAGACAATCTCGAGCTTGGGAAGATCACTGATGAGTTGCGCATCAGCGCCGGCAGAAGCATTTCCAACGACGGCGCGGATGGAGTTCCGGTGCGTTTCCAGAAAGACTGACTTCTCCGGACAAGTCCAGAAACGAAGAAGGTTGAAGCGCTTCTGAAGCTCGTTCTCGAGGTAGGAGGACATGGGGCACATCATAAGGACTCCGATTGATTCCATCTCTGGAAAGGATCCAAGCGCAGAGGAGTGAGTGGTCGGTATTAGCCTCTTCACCAGAATGCGTCTCAGGGGAGAGAAATAGCGCTACATAGAGAGATAAAGATGGGCCGAGATCATCGTAACATGTCTTCGAACTGGGCTTCTCGAAATTAATAAGATGAGAATGAAAGGGGCTGGATATTGCCCATTATAAGATCATCGTAACATATCTTCGAACTGGGCTTGCAGAAGTGAATAAGATTAAAAAGATGGGGGCTGGATATGGGCCCATTATAAGATCATCGTAACATGTCTTAGAACTGGGCTTGCAGAAATGAATAAGATTAGAAAGAAGGGGGCTGGATATGCGTCCTAAAAAGGATAAATTTGGAAAAATACTTTAGAAAACTACACCGTTGTTCATTTTTTTTAAACTGTACTTAATTTATTAATGAAATGTCTAAATTAATCTAATTAAAAATTGGTAATATCTTTAATATTTAATTAAAATATATAAAAATATATAAAAATTAATATAAGAATGAAGACACATAATTTAAAATTTGATTAATATTTTAATTAAAAAGATAAATAGATATATATAAATAAATAAAAGAATGAAGATATATAATTTTAAAATTTGAATCATCATTGCAGTTCATATACTATTTGATTTGGTCTTTTGCTAAATGATATTTAGATCTAACTCCTAGAAATTTTACGATGGACCAAAATAGTTTTAGTTAAAAAATATCTAAATAATACACTAATAAACTATTTTTTGTTAAAGATGAATTTTAAAATATTTAAATTGATGATTTCGAATTTTAATTTTCTAAAATAAATTAATATTATAATTAATAATTTCAAATTTAAATTTTCTCAAATGAATTAATATTAATAATTTCGAATTTTTTTTTAATTTATTAAAATATGTAATATTAAGTCATATAAAGAGAAACTTATTTGTTTTTCTATAATATAAATAAGTTAAATTTTTAAAAAATTAAACAACTGTATTTTTCAAATTTAAAAACTTAAATAAGGTATTTTGCCAATTCTCTCTTATAAAAATGGTCCAATATATCATTTACACACGAATAACCCTTTTTCAGTTTTTTTCCTTCAACTAGTCACGATGTAATGAATTAACGACCGTTGTTGGTCTCAGCAAATACAATTTTAGATTTACGACAAGAAATTGATGAAAAGTTTGATGAATTCATGAATCTAAAAAGAACATACTTGTATGTGTTTGGAACCGCACGTAAATTCTCCGCTAAAATTGCATGTGTAGAGAATCCAATGAAATTACACAATTCATTATGATTTTCAAATCATTTTATTCAAACTCCTCTCCCTCTCTAATTATCAAATCCTAAATAATCATTAGCTATAATTAACAGGTGCACCACACGTTCCCTACTCCAAAATCCTTTGTCTTTCCCACATTTTTCTCTGCCAAAATCAGTGTAAACAATTAGCATTCCTTTTTATTGTTTTGCCGCTCAAATAGTTTTTTGGTAAATCCTTTTTCTTCTCTAGTTTCGCAGATCTCAAGAGAGGCCCTCTTTGGCCTTTTCATCCTCTCTTTTTCGTTCCTCTCCTCCACAATTCTCTCGAGCGAAGAGGAAACCAACAATGGTTCGTGCATCAGAGCAAGAGCAGGAGGGGTATAGAAGCAGGCTCTTCAATTTCAAATGGCGGAACAATGACAACAATGCAGGAAAACATGCCAAGAGTCTCAGCGCCGAAACCGGTTTAGATGAAGCTGCCACCGGATCTGAGGAGGCTGAACCCTTGACCATAATCCATCCTAACAAGGCCCCGCCAATGTCAAGATCGGCTGCGGATGAAGCAGCGCTCGCCGCAGCACAGACTAGAGAGAAACAGCTTCTGGCAGGCAAGTCCTTCCTTGTTTGAGTTTTGATCCCATACCCTTCTCCTGCTTTATTTCTTATCTAGTTGGCTTGCGATGAGGTCAGACATGGAGCAGATGAAAGAGCGCTTCTCCAAGCTGTTGCTGGGGGAGGATAATTCCGGTGGAGGCAAAGGAGTCTCGTCTGCTCTCGCCCTCTCAAACGCAATCACAAACGTTGCAGGTAGGATTATCCAGATGAAGAAGGCTCTCTTGTTCATTAACACCGCATCTGATAATTGTCTTATTGGTAGCTTCCGTGTTCGGAGAGCAACGGCGTTTGGAGCCAATGCCTGCAGAGAGAAGAGCAAGATGGAGAAGAGAGATTGATTGGCTTCTCTCCGTGACTGACTACGTCGTTGAGTTTGCTCCATCGCAGCAAAAAAACAAAGATGGAACCAATATGGAGGTTTATTACCTGTCTCACTGCTGTTTTTCATTTGGTCATAAACATCCCATATGATTTACTGCTCTTAAATAACAGATAATGACCACACGCCAACGCACTGACCTCCACATGAACATTCCCGCCTTGAAGAAGCTGGACGCTATGCTTATCGTAAGGCCTCTGTCGGCAACACACACCATACCATATACTCGCTGATGCCTGAATTGTTTTTCATTTTTGCCCTCTTCTGCTTAGGATTGTCTAGAAAATTTCAAGGACCAAAGCGAGTTCAGCTACGTTTCAAAAGACTCGTCTGACTCAGATGACGCAAACGCTAAAAAAAATGACGACAAATGGTGGATTCCGACAGTAAAAGTTCCGCCAGATGGTCTATCAGAAGCCTCTCGAAGGTTCTTGCAGTACCAGAAAGATTGTGTAAACCAGGTTCTCAAGGCAGCCATGGCCATAAACGCGCAGGTTTTGTTCGAGATGGAGATCCCTGAGAGCTACATCGACTCTCTCCCCAAGGTAAACACCACCAACTGCTGAGATTCGAGCTGGTCGATGGTGCAACTCACGCTTGTTTACAATGCAGAACGGGAGGGCGAGTCTTGGAGATCAGATGTACAGGAATATAACAGTGGACTTCTTCGACCCAGACCAGTTCCTGAGCACCATGGACATGTCATCCGAGCATAAGATTGTCGACCTCAAAAACAGAATTGAGGCGTCAATAGTCATCTGGAAACGCAAAATGGTTCAGAAGGACAGTAAATCATCCGCCCCCTGGGCCTCCGGCGTCAGTCTCGAGAAGCGAGAGGTCTTCGAAGACCGAGCTGAGACTATTTTGCTCATCCTCAAGCAAAGACACCCTGGGATTTCTCAGTCTTCTCTCGACATCAGCAAGATCCAATTCAACAAGGTAACTCAATCTGAATGTAGCATGATCCATTCGGGGTTTTCTCCCAATTTACATAGTTTTCCTTGTAGGATGTGGGTCAGGCAGTGTTAGAGAGCTATTCGAGAATACTAGAGAGCTTGGCGTACACTGTGCTATCAAGAATCGATGATGTTCTAGAGGCAGATCGAGCAGGGAACAAGAAGAGCACGCCGAGGGAATCAGAGGAAGAGACGCTGGTGGGTAGCATGACGTTGTCGGACTTCATGGGATGGGATTTCGATCAAGGAAACGGTGACTTGGAGTCGAAGAAGGATACGATGAATGATCAATTGGTGAAGGAGAAGATAAGCGTCGTCACCACCAAGAAGACATCATACCTCGAAACCCTAGGTGGCGTCAAGAGTCCAACGGCGCGGCATTGATCTTGGTAGTGAAAAAAAGCAAATTAGGACAAGAAAACTGCTGAGAAAGATTATTATTAGGAATACAGTATTCTCTTGAAGAAGGATTTGTAATTAATTTGCATCTGATTCTATTTAAAAACATTTGGGCTTCAATATTAGGCCCATTATATTGTTAACCCATTTAGCAAAAGCCAATATTATAATAACATGATCTATCGCCTTATCTTCTTCATCGTCTTCCAAATCGATCCCATAGAGGAGGGGGATAACGATGACGTCGCTAATAACCTCATCTCTGCAAGCTCTGAAGCTTTCGTCTCCATTCGCCCATGGCTCGACTCCACTCTCATCTCTCTCTAAGCCCAATTTATTCCCGAACCCTCGAAGGCCGGCATTGGTTCCGGTCATCAGAGCCATGAAAACGATGCAGGGGCGCGTGGTGTGCGCAACCAACGACAAGACCGTGGCGGTGGAGGTGGTGAGGCTGGCTCCGCATCCCAAGTACAAGAGGCGCGTGAGGAAGAAGAAGAAGTACCAGGCGCATGACCCGGATAATCAGTTCAAGGTGGGCGATGTGGTGAGGCTGGAGAAGAGCAGACCCATCAGTAAGACTAAGTCATTCGTGGCGCTTGCTGTCGTCTCAAGGAGCAGCAGGAAAGCGGAAGGCGGAGGAGAAGCTGGGAACGACCTCGGCATTCCCTTGGAATCTCAGCAGCCGGCGTAGAGGAGAATGCGACTCACTGAGTGTTTGTTTGTTTTGGTAAAAAAAAAAAGCTGTCTTTTTTACTGTTTTTCGTTTCTGTTTGTTGTGTATTGCAATCAAGTGTAATTCTCTCTGTTTATGGAATGCATTTTGTTTTCCTGCTCGAATTGCGTATTGTTTAAGTTGTGGAATTTGATCAGGCCTTCGTTTCTGATCCAATTACTGTGTATCTAAATCAGGGTTATGCATTTGGTTCATCTGATCCCACTTTTGTTTCGGTAAAGTTTTGTGTATTGGGTTCTTAGTCGAGTATGATGCTCTCTTAATGCTGCAAAAAGTGTTGGATAACAGTATGATTGCGGGAGAGAGAGAGAGGGTTGTTTTTGTACAAAACTTAATGCACTGCTATACATTATGATATACTTATATATGTAACAACAATCATCACACCTGCTGTGAGTTGTCATCAACAATCTTCGATTTGGAGGCTTCTCTTAATGTTGTGGAGGGTGAGAGAGACGAGGTTTGTGACGGATTCCACGGACTCCATATTCAGCTTTGCTGCAGGAGAAGTGTTGATGAGCGTTTGGAGGGCCAGTGTGAGCAGAGACCCTCCTTGGCTGTTTCTGTCCTCTTGTGCAGACGTGATTACCAGTGGTCTTGATTCTACTCCATCGGGTATGATTGAGAATCCACAAGGCAGGATTTGGATGTTGCTTGGATCATGTCCTGCAATCACCAGCTGTGTCGTGTTTATATCTACGGGAGCGTATACGACCACCGACTCATATGAGTTTGTGCTGCTGTCCTGCAGCACCCATATGCTCTTTTCTCTCGATTTCACTGTCTGGATAGACACTGAGTTGCCTCTGTCTTGTCCCTTGGATAAGCTTGCGATAGACTGAACATGAGCTCCGTTTGACAAAGCATCCCACTGATGATAATAATACGTATGTATAGTTAGATTTAAAACGGTTTTATTGGTTCTGTGTGTGCGAAGGAAGTGTATGCCACAAGGTACCTCATGGCGACGAGCTTCATCTCTAAAGAAATCGAAGAGGAGAGTGGGAGAAACAGGTAACCAGAGGGAGGAAGAAGCGCAGACGATGACTCCGGTGGGCTCACCAGGATCATGGAGGTTCTTCCTGGAAGAAACCCTCATGTCTTGTCCAGTTTTGGTGGTGATTTTGGTCCATTGGTGGTAGCTGGAAGCAGCAATGGCGCGGTAGAAGCTTTGTGTCATCCTCTGGGCCATCTTGAGCACGCTCTTTCTCCCGGCAAGCGTTGTAACTCCTGAGAGGAGGATTGGGGTTAAGAAAAGGTGAGAGGGAGAAAGAGAGAGAGGGAGAGAGAGAGTGTAAATAATGGACGGACCGAGAGAGTCCTTGGTAGGGACGTTGGTAGCCATGAAGAAGACGAGGCGTTCGCAGTGGAGCTGGAGGGTGGCGACCCAGTGTCGAGCCCCAAAGGCCAAACCGGTGTTGACAAAGGAGCGGAAGAGAGGCTGAACGGTGGAGGCAGACAAGTCGAGGTGCTCCACCCAGGTGACCTTGGAGTGGCCGTTGGAGGTGTCCTCGATGATGCAACCTGAGGGGCGTTTCCGGCATTTAAGCAGCGAAGCCTCCTTGTCCTCCGTGTTGTTGTTGTTGTCGTCTTCCTCCAGAGAGACTGATACGTCCACGATGGCCCATTTCTCAGGGCTAAGCTGCCGGCAGCTTCTCACGAAGTACACTTCTCTTGTGGGGACAACCGGAGTGAGCAGTTGCATCTCCCCAAACATCTGCCAATATGTCCATCAATGTATTATATTAGCTCTCATCTCTCGCGTGTCATCACTATCTATCAAAAGGTGATTCACTAACCAACTGAATCGCACCGTCGATCCTTGAAGGCCCTTCACCCTGCCGGATTACATCAACCGTCGCCGCCTTTGAGATCAAGCACGCAAACATCTCTTTCCATTGCCCCTGCACGTTGTATATATATCTTTATATTGCCTACATGTGATACACAAAAGTATATTCGTAAATATTTGGAGGAAATGAAAGAAAAAGAGTACCACGTCCATAAAACTCTGAGCAAGTTTGTGTGCGTCCATAAACACGATCCCCACATCCCTGGATGCTTCGATGGATCTCCTTGCATGGAGGGGAGAGGCCTGAGCTTGAGGGAAGTCCTTGAGATACTCGTCGTAGTTGAGAATGTCACGGCCAGTCTCAAGGCTGCGGAGCCAAAGAGGTTGGCCGGAGGAGGCCATCTTCTGGAGCTCAAGGGTGGCTCGGCTGGCAATCTCCACGATGCGGGACTTGTCGAGGGCAAAGACGCCCGTGTAGAAGTCGAGACGGTGTGGTTGATCATCGGAGCATGAGGCCTGGAGTGGGTAGGGAGTGCGTCCGAGAGCCGCACGAAGCTTATCCAGCTCCGCCTTCAGTTTGGAGTTCTCGATGTGGACATCATCGGTGCCTCCTCCGCAGTTTGGGCAGCAAGAATTAGCCTTGGCAAAAGACTCTCTCATGCCTTTGTTTTCCTCCCTCAGCTTCTCTAGTTCCGCTTTCAGCAGCGAGTTCTCGTGCCGTTCTTGAATAGCCTGTTCAGTTACATTTCAGTATTTCACTATAACTATATACATATGTAGCTCCAAGCGAATAGTCTTTTTGTCTTAAGAAATCCATATATATCATCATCATCACGTACGTCGATATACATACCTTGATCTGGGTGCGGCGGTTTTGGAACCAGAATTTGACCTGGCGAGGAGCCAGCCCTAATTGCTTGCTCAGCTGCTGTCTTTGCTTCTCGTCTGGATGGGGCGTCTCTTTGAACAGCCTGCAATGCAACCCTCAGTTTTCTCATTCATAGCTCCATGATCATTCTTCATATTTAATTAATTCTTTCATATCTTTTTTTTATCCTCCTATTCGAAAACATAGTATGAATTAAACTCTTAATTATATGAGCCCTAACTAGCTATACACATTAGTGCTCTTGGTTTTAGTTTTTTGTTTTGAAAGAACTTGGTTTTAGTTTAATCATAGGGTGATTGAATGGAAACACTTGTCCCGTCCTATGTTATAGTATAAACACATGTATATACTAGGGAGTACGAGAGAAAATTAAAGAGCAAGATATGTAATTAAACGCATTCAAATAATTAACTATTGCTGGATCATCGATCTGCAATATATATTAATTTGTTCATCACTACTAATAAATACATGAAATATGCATTCTTCCTTTTTATATGGCAGTAGAAATGAAGAGGCCTACTGTTCAGCACAGACTGACTACTATATACTCTAATCCCTATGTGTAGGGCATGATGATGATGACTAGTCATAATTGAAGTATATATGGAGGAGTTGAGGTCATCAAATTCATATATCATCAAGACCAATTAATCGAAATGTTCCATGTTTTGAAACCCTAATTTGATTAAATGGTAATCCATTAGAGCTACAGATGAAATATAAAGAATAATAATTAAGGAAGGAAGAACGTACGCTTCCATGTGTCTAATCTGATCGGTGGTGTGGCGGTGATACTTCTTCCTCTTCCTCTTGTTGCCCTTGTTTCCTGCTCCGTCTTCCTCCTCATCCTCCTCCTCCTCCTCTTGATCCTCCAAGTCTTCCTCTGATCTGGATCTCGTGGGTCCCGAGTTCTCGCTGCTCATCTCCACCGTCCGATCCTCATCGTCAACTACCCTTCTCCCCAAAAAGTCCTCCTCAGGGTTCCTGCTGCCGGAGGATGCATTCCGGAATATACCAGCCTGTATTTATATCAGTACCATTCACAAATAGATACATATATACAATACAGTAAATTTTTATTTAGATGAGTTTACGAGAGTAGTAGAACAGAGAGTACGCGTACGAGAGAGAGGGAGAGGGCTGGAGAGGAGAAGAAATCTTTGGTGGGTTGTTTCGATGACATTTCGACGGCCATTGACATACGAACGCTCCCAATTTTTTTATTTGCTTTATCTTCCCTCTCCTCCTTCTTCCTTGTGCTATTTATATATCTCTATATATTTTCCTTATTTCTTTTTTTTTGTGTGTGTGTGTACCAAAATGTACTCTTTCACATATACTGTATATGGCTATATAGCTAAGCTAGCCCTTCAATTCTAATTATACATACAAACGGTCGTTTTTCAGATATTTCTCTATTGCTTGACTTTTAGGTGCTTCATTTAATTATATTTAACCAACCCCTTCTTCTTTTTAATATCTATATATACTCCATTAGTTTTACAATTTTATTCACACTTGATTACTTTGCAAACATGGCCAGCTACATTATTTGCAGGCGTCGATATCGACTTCGTTTTTTTTTATAAAAATATTCGAGCAAATTCGCTATTGCATCTGGAAAATTCTCCTTTCCAATTTACCTTTTGTATATAGAATAAAATGCTGTGCATTATTTTTCCGCACAATATTACTGTTGAAAATCATATATCATGTGGTTGAAAATCATATAGAATTTTGCCACTAATCATGAATTGAATCGGTTTAAACCACATAATGTCGTTCCTAGAGTTTACTGTAGGCAGAGAGAAGGAATGAGAATAAGGGGGTTGCATGATTTAAGGGTATACAGACAAAAGGCGAACTTCTCTGTCTCTTCTTTAATTGAATTTGTGTATAGAGAGAGAGAGAGAGAGAGTAGTGAGAGAAAGACATATTGTATGTCAGTTTATTGTTTCAAAAACAAAATAAAATACAAATAAGGACGAAAGAGGAGAGAGTTGACCGTTAGATACTGGGATGGACTCAACTAACTTTAAGCACCTAATTCTCCAACCGCATTTTCTGCTTTCTTCTTTCCTCCTTGATTATCATCATCATTTCTCTTATTATGACTTCTATTTATTTATTTATTATATACTATATACTTACCTGGTTATGATGTAATGTGTACGTATTGTCTGTTATTGTGATCTCTTTCTTCAAGCAATTAGTAACTTATGATTACAAAATGCAACATTAAATCTCTATATTTTATGTTGGTTAATAAAACTTGGTTGTAAAGCAAGCAAGCTAGTAATTGCGTGACATAGGAAAGTGGAAAAGCATTGGTAAGAGAGAGTGAAGAGGATATTATTGGAGCTACATGGAAACCTGAAATGCCTTGTGCTCCAATAACTTATGCTAATATATATTATTCCGGGAATCCGAATCTACTACTCTAGTATGCTATATTACTACTAGTAAACAATACGATTAGATAATGAGGTAAATGCATGGAGGAAGAGTTGTTGAATAAGTTAGAAAGTTAAAAATTGGATAGAGGGGAAATATGGATGACGTGGGAGCTGCAGGGACAGAGCCGAGGGATATGCAACGGAAAGAGACGTCGGATGTTTTGGAAGGTCAACGAGACGCATTGACTGATCGTTACTCATTAATTTCAGCGACCTTAAAAGGAAATGAATGCTCTTTATGGGTTTGCCTCCAACCCCTTTCCATTTTCTCCACCTCTCTTTATTACTTACACATATATATACGATCTCTCATTTCCTCTCTCTCTCTCTATATATATAAATATATGTATATCCACCATATATATAAGGCCACCTAAGTACATATGTGTATGTGTGATTTGATACTTTACGTATTAATGTTGATAATCTTTTTATAAAAAAACGGAAAGAGTTGTATATACCTAATTATAACATCAGATGATATTATTCGCAAACTAAAGGCTATATGTTTTGTAAGTAACTTTCAAACAAAGGAGAGTACCTATCAGGACGTCCGTTATAACGGAGACTATGGAGCAAGAGGAAATTAAACTAAGTGACATGCATGTAAGCAATAGTGGAGCGAATCAGCAATTCAAAAGCTACAACAGGTTTAGATATCGCCTCTGTTGGTCGTACGACCGATGGAATTGTTAGTTAGGAAAGGTAGATACCAAATGCTGTATAGAGGGAATGAACCATAACATATTAACATTTACGTTCACCACATGCGCGCGCTTTGGTTAATTAATGCCTTATTAACATCTCTTTCGCCCTATCTATTACTAAAATATTAAATACTACGTACCGCCTCTAGATTCCATTTTCATCCTTTCATTCCTTTTTGCTGCTTTCCTCTCACTCTCTCTGCTATTGATTACTAACTTAGGATTTTTGGTAAAGATTTCCATTTCCACGATTAATCTCTTACCCATTTTGGCAACCTCCAAAACAAGTCCGTTTTCTTTTTCTTTTTGGTTTTTTTCTTATTCAGAGGCGAAAGATCGAGGCCACTAAACTTTGGAAGTATGCATGCATGTAGGGTCTTCCGAATTAATTAAGACAGCCCCTAAGTTAATTCCGAGGTGCAACTCACCACTATCCTTTTTTTCTTTCTCTTTTTATTTTGTTTTAACACCTGACTATCCTCTTTTTTTTTTTTTTTTTTTTGCATCCTTACAAATTACTATCTAGAAAGAGAATTTGAGCCAACAAAATCGAATATGATCTCCTACTGAATGAAAGCAAACATGTTATGAAAATGTGACATTGAGTGTGCACACGTGCGAAGTGGGAGTGGTGGCATAGGAGATTGTGCCAGATAAAGACAGTGAGGACAAGTTGCTCCATATTATTATTAATGCATTGCATTTGATTCACAAAGGATATCATATATATGAGTCGTACGTTCCTAATATTCTTGGTACCTCCAACCACATAGCAAAAGATGGATAGTTAGTTGCGGACAATCAGATGAAACTAAAAGACACATTCAAGCGAGAGCTAGCGAGTGCCATATATTGTGGGATGTACCATAAATCTTAAACATTTTGCTACAACTCTCTTACATCGAAAATAAAAAAATGGCATATATACACACTAGTACATATTAAAAGACAGAGATTAGAAGGATATAGTTATTGTCAACATAATACAAATTAAAGCCCTATAAACTATTTCACACACTTAGTTAAGTGTTGTCAACCCAATCACTATTACATCTGATAGCCATTATATGTATGCATATCTTTGTGATTTGGTGGCTATGAGATGTAATATGGATTGGGTTGACAACACGTAACTAAAGTGTGTATTTGCCCCAAAATTGGTGGGCCGGAGAGATCCAATATTGTTACTTGTGAGCAGGATCATTATGGTCTACCAACACGGTGGTATTAGTTTTTGATAGGCGCTAATTCAGACCAAAGCATACAATCAAGATTTTGGGAATTATTAAATGATGATAATGGGGATTTGGGACCGAACCAAGGGGCAGAACGTCGTCATCTTTGATTAATTAGTGGAACGACGCCGTTTTCGCCGCCGGTGGCAGAGCCAAGAAAAACAAACAAAAAAGGAGGTTGGATTTGGATCTACACACATTGGGTCTCCTCCGCGAATTGATCACGAGGCATCTCCTTGTCGTAAGCTTATTCTGATCCCCAATAGGCAATAGCTTGCTTGAATCTTATTGATCTTGCCTTCACGTGCTGTTGACCTAAACTTGGGTCTCGACCACGCTTGATCCTGGATCACGAGGAATTTGTTGATTTGTTGCTTTCCTTGTAAGCGCAGGGTCGGGGATGGATCTGGTCCGGTGATTTTCGAGATTTAGGTCGAACAAGTTTCAGATTTTCTGGTGGAGACAATGGCTTGGTTCAGTGGAAAAGTTTCTCTGGGAGGATTCCCAGATCTCACTGGGGCAGTAAATAAATTCCAGGAGAGCGTTAAGAACATCGAAAAGAATTTCGACAATGCCCTTGGGTTTGACGAGAAGTCGGAATCTGGCGGCGAAGGTGCTCTTCTCACTTTTCTTTTTGTTTGCAAAGAATGTACAAATATCATGCATCCCCGATCGCAATAATCTGCAGTTTTAGCCGTGGTCAGGTCACATTTGTTCTGCTATTGCACTGATACAATTTTGGAAGTTATGAGTTTGTGTTGTATTTTGCTTAGTACTTGCGTAGCTAGTGTGTGCTTCAGCTGAGAGAATATGCACATACCATTTTCCATTGGATCAGCGGGTTTAGTTTGTGACAGCTAGTGTGGTTTCAGGGGTATTCTGTGTTTACCTAACACTAGTAAAAATCAGTATCTTCTGTATTGTCGCATGAGTTTCCGGTAGCTTGCTTTGTGTTCACAACATATATCCTTTTTGTTTTTCAGCTTCAAGTATGTGGCCACCTGCCGTTGATACCAAAAGTCTCTTTGATCCCGTAATGTCCTTCATGGGTAACACCTCTGATGAGAAACTCGATAGATTGGAAGACTCTGTGAGTACAGAAATTCCGTCTCAAATCCAAGGACAACAAGAAGAAGAAGGATCTGGTAAGCTAGCCACTGAACAAGCAGTGTCCGTTGAAGCAGTGAAAGAAAAATATGTGGAAAGAGAAGCTGATCAAGCAGAATCTCCTGAGGTAACAGACACTGCTGTTTTAGATCTCAAAGATGATGAACCTGAATCACAGATGGTTCTCCAAGAGTCTTCTGAATACTCTCTTCAGCGTCCTGAATCGTCTCCTTACACGACTACTCTTGAACCTAATGAAAAGCTGGAAATGACAGCTTCTCATGAGTCACAGCCAGAGCGACCCAAGTCGAAAGATGCTGCATCAGAGGCAGAGGAGCCAAATCCAGCGGATGGTGGAGCAAGAGATGTTTTAGTGGCAAACAATGACGCAGTTTACTCCCATGTCTTTGATGGACCGCATAAGATTGCTGACACGGATGAGGCAACAAATAAACAGGAAAGCGAGGGTGAAAATCTGGAAGAGAGAACCTCGTCTATAAATGTTGAAGTTTCACCTTATGTAAATAATTTTAACAGGATAGAGCCCCCTGATGCTCAACCATCCTTATTTACTGAGTCAGATGCTCCTGCTTATGAGTCTTCTGTGCCAAAGAGATCTTCTTCAGATGAAATATCAGAGAGAATTGTAGATTTTGTTTCTCGTGAATTGGATTCAAGTATTGATGCTTGTGAATTGAATGAGAGCCAGCGTTCGAGCTCTGCAACAAATGCTTCCGACTCTGCTGATGTTGTTCTGGAATTAGAGAAGACCAAAAAGGAAATGAAAATGTTAGAA